TCCTACTGTCTTCAACCAACTGAATTAGACCAACATTCCTACTGTCTTCAACCAACTGAATTAGACCAACATTCCTACTGTCTTCAACCAACTGAATTAGACCAACATTCCTACTGTCTTCAACCAACTGAATTAGACCAACATTCCTACTGTCTTCAACCAACCGAATTAGACCAACATTCCTACTGTCTTCAACTAACCTAATTAGACACCAACATTCCTACTGTCTTCAACCAACTGAATTAGACCAACATTCCTACTGTCTTCAACCAACCGAATTAGACCAACATTCCTACTGTCTTCAACCAACTGAATTAGACCAACATTCCTACTGTCTTCAACTAACCTAATTAGACACCAACATTCCTACTGTCTTCAACCAACTGAATTAGACCAACATTCCTACTGTCTTCAACCAACTGAATTAGACCAACATTCCTACTGTCTTCAACCAACTGAATTAGACCAACATTCCTACTGTCTTCAACCAACTGAATTAGACCAACATTCCTACTGTCTTCAACCAACTGAATTAGACCAACATTCCTACTGTCTTCAACTAACCTAATTAGACACCAACATTCCTACTGTCTTCAACCAACCGAATTAGACCAACATTCCTACTGTCTTCAACCAACTGAATTAGACCAACATTCCTACTGTCTTCAACCAACTGAATTAGACCAACATTCCTACTGTCTTCAACCAACTGAATTAGACCAACATTCCTACTGTCTTCAACTAACCTAATTAGACACCAACATTCCTACTGTCTTCAACCAACTGAATTAGACCAACATTCCTACTGTCTTCAACTAACCTAATTAGACACCAACATTTCTACTCTCTTCAACCAACTGAATTAGACACCAACATTCCTACTGTCTTCAACCAACTGAATTAGACCAACATTCCTACTGTCTTCAACCAACTGAATTAGACCAACATTCCTACTGTCTTCAACCAACTGAATTAGACCAACATTCCTACTGTCTTCAACCAACTGAATTAGACCAACATTCCTACTGTCTTCAACCAACCGAATTAGACCAACATTCCTACTGTCTTCAACCAACCGAATTAGACCAACATTCCTACTGTCTTCAACTAACCTAATTAGACACCAACATTCCTACTGTCTTCAAACAACTGAATTAGACCAACATTCCTACTGTCTTCAACCAACTGAATTAGACCAACATTCCTACTGTCTTCAACTAACCTAATTAGACACCAACATTCCTACTCTCTTCAACCAACTGAATTAGACCAACATTCCTACTGTCTTCAACTAACCTAATTAGACACCAACATTCCTACTGTCTTCAACCAACCGAATTAGACCAACATTCCTACTGTCTTCAACTAACCTAATTAGACACCAACATTCCTACTGTCTTCAACCAACTGAATTAGACCAACATTCCTACTGTCTTCAACCAACTGAATTAGACCAACATTCCTACTGTCTTCAACCAACTGAATTAGACCAACATTCCTACTGTCTTCAACCAACTGAATTAGACCAACATTCCTACTGTCTTCAACCAACTGAATTAGACCAACATTCCTACTGTCTTCAACCAACTGAATTAGACCAACATTCCTACTGTCTTCAACTAACCTAATTAGACACCAACATTCCTACTGTCTTCAACCAACCGAATTAGACCAACATTCCTACTGTCTTCAACCAACTGAATTAGACCAACATTCCTACTGTCTTCAACCAACTGAATTAGACCAACATTCCTACTGTCTTCAACCAACTGAATTAGACCAACATTCCTACTGTCTTCAACTAACCTAATTAGACACCAACATTCCTACTGTCTTCAACCAACTGAATTAGACCAACATTCCTACTGTCTTCAACTAACCTAATTAGACACCAACATTTCTACTCTCTTCAACCAACTGAATTAGACACCAACATTCCTACTGTCTTCAACCAACTGAATTAGACCAACATTCCTACTGTCTTCAACCAACTGAATTAGACCAACATTCCTACTGTCTTCAACCAACTGAATTAGACCAACATTCCTACTGTCTTCAACCAACTGAATTAGACCAACATTCCTACTGTCTTCAACCAACCGAATTAGACCAACATTCCTACTGTCTTCAACCAACTGAATTAGACCAACATTCCTACTGTCTTCATCCAACTGAATTAGACCAACATTCCTACTGTCTTCAACCAACTGAATTAGACCAACATTCCTACTGTCTTCAACCAACTGAATTAGACCAACATTCCTACTGTCTTCAACTAACCTAATTAGACACCAACATTCCTACTCTCTTCAACCAACTGAATTAGACCAACATCCCTACTGTCTTCAACTAACCTAATTAGACACCAACATTCCTACTGTCTTCAACCAACCGAATTAGACCAACATTCCTACTGTCTTCAACTAACCTAATTAGACACCAACATTCCTACTGTCTTCAACCAACTGAATTAGACCAACATTCCTACTGTCTTCAACCAACTGAATTAGACCAACATTCCTACTCTCTTCAACCAACTGAATTAGACCAACATTCCTACTGTCTTCAACCAACTGAATTAGACCAACATTCCTACTGTCTTCAACCAACTGAATTAGACCAACATTCCTACTGTCTTCAACCAACTGAATTAGACCAACATTCCTACTGTCTTCAACCAACCGAATTAGACCAACATTCCTACTGTCTTCAACCAACTGAATTAGACCAACATTCCTACTGTCTTCAACCAACCGAATTAGACCAACATTCCTACTGTCTTCAACCAACTGAATTAGACCAACATTCCTACTGTCTTCAACCAACTGAATTAGACCAACATTCCTACTGTCTTCAACCAACTGAATTAGACCAACATTCCTACTGTCTTCAACCAACTGAATTAGACCAACATTCCTACTGTCTTCAACTAACCTAATTAGACACCAACATTCCTACTGTCTTCAACCAACCGAATTAGACCAACATTCCTACTGTCTTCAACCAACTGAATTAGACCAACATTCCTACTGTCTTCAACCAACTGAATTAGACCAACATTCCTACTGTCTTCAACCAACTGAATTAGACCAACATTCCTACTGTCTTCAAACAACTGAATTATACCAACATTCCTACTGTCTTCAACCAACCGAATTAGACCAACATTCCTACTGTCTTCAACCAACCGAATTAGACCAACATTCCTACTGTCTTCAACTAACCAAATTAGACACCAACATTCCTACTGTCTTCAAACAACTGAATTAGACCAACATTCCTACTGTCTTCAACCAACTGAATTAGACCAACATTCCTACTGTCTTCAACTAACCTAATTAGACACCAACATTCCTACTCTCTTCAACCAACTGAATTAGACCAACATTCCTACTGTCTTCAACCAACCGAATTAGACCAACATTCCTACTGTCTTCAACCAACTGAATTAGACCAACATTCCTACTGTCTTCAACCAACTGAATTAGACCAACATTCCTACTGTCTTCAACTAACCTAATTAGACACCAACATTCCTACTCTCTTCAACCAACTGAATTAGACCAACATTCCTACTGTCTTCAACTAACCTAATTAGACACCAACATTCCTACTGTCTTCAACCAACCGAATTAGACCAACATTCCTACTGTCTTCAACTAACCTAATTAGACACCAACATTCCTACTGTCTTCAACCAACTGAATTAGACCAACATTCCTACTGTCTTCAACCAACCGAATTAGACCAACATTCCTACTGTCTTCAACCAACTGAATTAGACCAACATTCCTACTGTCTTCAACCAACTGAATTAGACCAACATTCCTACTGTCTTCAACCAACTGAATTAGACCAACATTCCTACTGTCTTCAACTAACCTAATTAGACACCAACATTTCTACTCTCTTCAACCAACTGAATTAGACACCAACATTCCTACTGTCTTCAACCAACTGAATTAGACCAACATTCCTACTGTCTTCAACCAACTGAATTAGACCAACATTCCTACTGTCTTCAACCAACTGAATTAGACCAACATTCCTACTGTCTTCAACCAACTGAATTAGACCAACATTCCTACTGTCTTCAACCAACCGAATTAGACCAACATTCCTACTGTCTTCAACTAACCTAATTAGACACCAACATTCCTACTGTCTTCAACCAACTGAATTAGACCAACATTCCTACTGTCTTCAACCAACCGAATTAGACCAACATTCCTACTGTCTTCAACCAACTGAATTAGACCAACATTCCTACTGTCTTCAACTAACCTAATTAGACACCAACATTCCTACTCTCTTCAACCAACTGAATTAGACCAACATTCCTACTGTCTTCAACCAACTGAATTAGACCAACATTCCTACTGTCTTCAACTAACCTAATTAGACACCAACATTCCTACTGTCTTCAACCAACTGAATTAGACCAACATTCAAATTTTAAATGTTGCATTTCAAAAGAGTCTACTGAGGTGTTTTGCATTAATGGCATCACACACCTGAGGGGATGTGTGGGTTCAAAACTTACTTGAGTATCTCTTAAATAGTTCAGGCAAGTTGTTTTAGGCTATTGTCAAACTGACTCAGCTATTATTAGTCTGGAAAACAACCTTTGTTTTTTCAGGCAAGTGCCTTTAGGCAAGTGTCTTTAGGAAAATATCTTTTAGGCAAGTATCTTTAGGCAATGATTATAGACCTGATCTACAAGCACCAATTCCTCTACATTGAAGCATACATACATTATTAATTAAGATAATTATTAATCTCCTAATTAAACTCCACAATCCAGTTAATAAGTGAAGATAGAACTTTAAAGGGAAGTAACAACAGATAATGAAAGCAGCAATTGTTGGTGTCAATTTTTTGAATGTTTAAGTAGTCAATAATATTTAAACATCATACAAATTTAAAATTACTTCAGCAATTAAATTTGAAAAAAAAAAACCTAGGTAGATTTAAAATCTACTTTTAATTTTTAAACTTACTTGTATTTATCAACAGCACATAAAAGAGTTTTGCCATCCCAGGTCTTGTTATTCAGGCAGTGGATCACAGTTTTTCCGGAGATTTGATGATGATTTAGCATACATTTTAAGATAACTGATGTTGAGTTGTAATGTAGCACGTCATAATGGTTGGATATTCTTAGCAATGGAAAAGTAACATTTTAGCAAAAAACAGAATTTTACTACTTTTACTATTAAGTTCAAGGGTTGAATTTTAAAGTAAAGATTGTAATAATTCAAATCTGGTCATTTTTAATAGGCTACAAAAAGAGATCAATTGCATTCACTCATTTAGGCAAAAACATATCTCAAGGGAATAAGGTGGTAGGCCTATCGACATGTTTTTATTTTGAAAGTTGTTTAGTGACTGACAACCATAATAAAATAAACTATTCATAAAATTCTAACTTTGTACTTTTCCAATTTCCAGCATCTAGCAACAGACTCCACCAAAAATGTGGTGTTCTGTTAAAAGTATTTTTACCAGTAGCCTATCAGTACAAATACTATCCAGTATCACCAATTTTCAAAAGAAGATTCCATTACTATGGCGTTGCTAGCTGTGGACCTGAAGAATTACCATAAAATGCACCCTGAAATTGCAGAAACTAGGCAGAAATACGAGAAATGCATCCTGAAGTTTGACAAAATAAGCAGATGTACCTGTTATTAAACAAAACATCTACACTTTGACAAAATAAGCAGATGTACCTGTTATTAAACAGAACGTCTACAGTTTGACAAAATAAGCAGATGTACCTGTTATTAAACAAAACGTCTACAGTTTGACAAAATAAGCAGATGTACCTGTTATTAAACAAAACGTCTACAGTTTGACAAAATAAGCAGATGTACCTGTTATTAAACAAAACGTCTACAGGACATGCGAGTCCCTCTATCATCATCAGCATGTGAACTTCCTCCATTTTTACCCAGAGAACTGATGCGTGCTTGGGTGGACTTCATGTATGCAGCTAAGTTGTAAAATAGATTTTCTTTTTAAAAGGCAACAAGAGTAACCCGTGGATATTGTTTCCTTAATATATAGAGAATTTTTATGTTCCCCAAACGTGTTCAGGTATCTTCTTTTAATAACAATCTAAGTAAATATATAGGCCTAATCTAGGCAAATGTTAGGTCATACATTTAAAAACACCATAAAATTACCATTCAGTGGTTTGTAGGAGTTATAAAAACAATTTCAGAGTCCAGTAATGATACAATCATAGATGTGGTGTTATTGATGTTAAAAAGTCAAACTGTATATCCCTTTATAAACCACCCCCCCCCTCCCCCAGGACAAAGGAGAGGGGAGGTTATGAAACTGCGACAGAGCTGTGCTGTTATAAAAGGTTAATTTTAAATTTTAAAGTGAATATAAATATAAGCAGTATTTGATCGAATTTTTTTTACTAGCAAAGGGAAACTACTCAAATAATATTTTCGGCAAAATTACTCTAGCTCGGTGATATCCCTTTATCATAACTCATAAATTGAAACGAAGAATGCCGTTGGGAAGGGGGGGGGGGGGTCCTGTTAAAATTTGATCTTTTAGAGGGGGTGGGAGTAAAAACAGCACGACATAGCACAGTCTATATATGAAAGGCTCTATTTGAGACCCGCCTATATAGATCTACTAGCTATATAGTAATAAACTAGAAGTAGATTCTATAATTAACTCCATCGGAAGCCGAAAATATTGACGCTTAGTCCTAAAGCTAATTTATTTCAAAAAGTATTTACGGTTTTTCAGCTTAACTTTATCAAACAGTTAAGTCAAGATATTTTTTTCCAAAATATAGGTCCGCAACAATATAATTTTATTTATTTTTTACTTATTTAAAACAAAACGTCTTTCTACACCTACCTTTTGACAACTCTGACCCGCTCAAGAACCGGTTGTTCGGTTTTTTTTATTTTTCAAAGAATCGGAGCGCAATTTTGGGTGTGCAAACAATAAATCACTAACACAAAAAGTGGTTTTCTAGTGTAACTTATTTCCTAAAACTTGACGTCTTGACATAATTTTTACTTTTCGAAAAACAATAAATAATTAATGTAAACCTTTATTCTTAGATGAAAGGTTTTGAAAATGTATTTTAAGGAATGTGAAAAGTTGACGTTACGATTTTATTTAGAGCGGCTGACATGTGACACACCAGCATTAGAGACGAACGCTTTTAACAGACGAACGTTTATGGGGGTGGGGCTGGTTACCCCACACCTGCTTTAAGTATGTCACACCTGACCTACGTATCACCTGGACTGAGCTACCTTATGTAAGCACAGACAGACCTTTTAAGGACTGCCTCCCACGCCCCCCCCCCTCCCTAACCCCAGTCGCTGGATATATAAAGATCTGCCCTTCACCCACTAACTACTTTGAAATAATGGGGCAGAGAACCACGTTTAAAAAATTACCAATCACATGATTTCCACAGGACTGCACAAACTGGTCACCACAGGCTATTCAAAATAATGTTTGGTTTAAAGCTGATGAAGTCAATGCAAAAACATGTAGGGTAGGTAAGTAGATAAAATATTAAAACGGCGCTATATATTTTTAAATTTAAAATAAGATTCTAGCAAAATTTAGCATACCAATACTGGGAAAATGTTTTTTAAAATCTTTTATTTCTATTTGGCAGTAAATGATGAATGCAGCAAGAACACCAAGAGTTGTCTCATCCAGAACTTTCAACTATTTCACAGCTAGAGTACAGGGACTTGATGAGAAAATCTTTCTTTAGACAGGGTCTGCTGCGATATATTATATATTGCTTGAACATTGTCTCTTGTGTAAGAGATTTACCTGTTGTGTAAGAGATTTAAACTGAACATTGCCTGTTGTGTTAGAGTTTAAAAAACCTTTTCATGAAAGCAGCATGGTCATTCAACTCAATATTCTTGTCAATAGAAGATCATTCAACTCAATATTTTCTTGTAAATAGAAGATCATTCAACTCATCACTTTTGTAAACCAAATATTTCAGCTTGATTTCTCTAGGTGGCTACACACTATCACATGATTCTCACACTCATCACCACACACACACAAACTGCAGTCACCCCCCCCCCCCCCCCCCCATACAGTGAAGCTAATCATTCAACAGCTCCACAAAGATAGACTGGCTGCGCATTTTAAAACCAACGTCACATGACATAAAATTCTAGATTATAATATATAAAACATGTTTATTTAGTAAACAATTTCTTTGTTCCCTTCCAAGTAATTAATTAATGAATCATCAAACCATTTTTTTCTATATTAAATAAAAGCATTTCAAAAAGAAAGAGCTATTCCATCCACCGGAGTTACAACCAAGGACCTAAACTGTGCATTCAGCTTACAAATAACATTTTAAAACCACCCCAAGCTTGATTGACATAATAAAAATTGACAAGACTAATGAATGAACAGAGACCTCATCTTTCAGTAATGTCTTAAAATGTATGATTGAGAATGTTGATTGTGCAAATAATAATGTAATCTGTACACATATCCAAGGCAATCATTTGACTCATGTAAGCTATGTATTGTACATATGTATATAAACAGTGTCACTCATAAAGATCTAAAACGCATTCATAACATTTCTTCTTGAAATTAAAAATATGTAATTTGCTAAGATATTACACATGTAATATTAAGATAATACATAAGTAGATTTCTCTCTGGTAAACAGAAAATAAAAATAGACATTCCTTCCTCCCATTTACCGCATGTACAAGAATAAAGTTATTGCAAAAATTTTTGTCAAACAACTCGGAACACCTTGATACATCTGCCATTTTCTTCAATCACACTAGTCACAGTGAGATAGTATAAAGCATTGTGGAATTACAAATCACTGACAGCAGATACGCCGGTCAGAGTAAAACTGTTGAAAATGTTCTGTTTGTCCAATATTCCTCCGCAAGCCAAACACTTTGTGAATGAACACGTATGTACACATCACGCTTGACGTCCTCCGTGTATGTACAAAAGTTTGAGTGGAGGACATCCTTCAATTACTCCGTTCCCAGCAAACGTATCAAACAAAAACAATAACGTGATTACAGAAAAATTAACGATCCCCTACAGTCTTTAAAAGTATTCTGTATTTATCACCACTCTCATCTGAAACATCAGGTTAGAAATTTATTGTTGAGAGAAAAAAACGCTAGAAAGAATTAGCTTTAGAGATTAGAAAAGTTTTATCATAAAAAGGACTTTTATTCCAGCCTTAAACTGGTTAGCATAAATACATTTTAGTTTGTCTAGAAGAGAGCATTAGAGAAAATTTACAAAAACAAGACCACCCTCGTAAGCTTACAAGCAATTAATTATCTTTCATTCAATCAACCATCTTTCATTAGTCTACAACCAATCAACCACCAATCAACCATCTTTTATTAGTCTACAACCAATCAACCACCAATCAATTACCTTTCATTTAATCTACAACCAATCAACCACCTTTCAATTACCTTTCATCTAATCTACAACCAATCAACCACCAATCAATTACCTTTCATTTAATCTACAACCAATCAACCACCAATCAATTACCTTTCATTTAATCTACAACCAATCAACCACCAATCAATTACCTTTCATTCCTTCAACAACAAATCGAGCTTGGTCCTGTGTGTTTTGTATCACCTACAGAAAGAAGGAAATTAACGGAATATTCACAAAAAATTACATTGGTTTCTAAATTATGGCTAATATAACAAGCAAAATTTAAACTAATAAAAAGTGCTTAGGCTTTATTTATAATGGAACTAATAGAGTAATAAAAAGTTCCAAAGACTATGCTGAATTTTTATTCATTAACTTGACTTTTTAAAATAATAGTAAAGGTTGTTTCTAGGTTGGATATTATTTCAATTTTATTTTTGTAAATTACTATGCTAATTGCGTTCAAACATACAAGTAAAATCCTATTGGTTTTCATTTTCTCAAGTATAAGAATATCTATAAATATTTTTATTTTAAACTGCTGTTTGTCTGGAGTAAAAATGTTTGCATGGACTTTGGGTGGTTAACTGTCTTGTCAGCATGGACTTTAGGTGGTTAACGGTTTAGTCAGCTCACCAGAGAGAACCTTAAAAAAAGTCTTACATCATCAGTGAGCAGTATATGAATCTGTGAAGGTCCCTGCATGTAGATGTCCCCTATCTGCTGGGTCTGGATGCCAAACAAGGAGGAAAGTTTCACTTTAAATTCCTCTAGCACCAAAGTGTCCATGTACAACGCATGGTAAACTGAAAAGTTAAATCAAATAGTAGTAGAACATTTTTATAGGAAAATTTTCTGTACAAATAAAGGCACCAAGCATCCAAACAATGCTCACATACAAAGTCATCTTCACAAAAAACTTACTTGACTCTGGTTCCTGGCAGATATAGATTGTAAGTCGTGGTCGAATGTTTCTGAAATGTATACATGTTAGAATTCAGCTGAAGCACATTTTTTCAATGTTTAAAGATAACGTAATTAATTAGTCATTTACATAATTAATGTAATTACTCTAGAGAAGCCTCAAATGAAACAACTGCATCTATCATTTCCCACTCTACTGACATAGTTCCCAACCAGGTAAGAATTTGACCTAACATTTTCAACTGTCATGTCTAAATATGAGGTGGACTCTTTTTTTCCCCATGGTAACTCTTATGAGCGATGTTATCAAGTAGAATTATGAAAATTGTGTTGATAAAAATCACCACTTACCTAGCTTGTAGTGCGTTGTCTAATCTAATGCCGTCAGCCAAGCCACAAATTTGTATTAAATCATCTCGACTTAGACGAAGCAGGTCTGCACCTGTCAATATATAAATGGGTTCTTATTATTTCATAAAAACACAGGCAACTGTTCACCTTTATAAATTTTTAATGATATAAATGACTGTGGTTTTGAAAGTACCAACCTGAGAAATTCTGGAATACACGAACATAATTTGAGAATCTGTGGTAGTGAAGCCACTGAGCCACATCAGCTGCTTGGGCATCGGATGAAAGAGGCTGAAATAGAGGATCAGATGAAAGAGGCTGAAATAGAGGGATGAAAGAGGCTGAAATAGAGGGATGAAAGAGGCTGAAATAGAGGGATGAAAGAGGCTGAAATAGAGGGATGAAAGAGGCTGAAATAGAGGGATGAAAGATGCTGAAATAGAGGATCAGATGAAAGAGGCTGAAATAGAGGATCAGATGAAAGAGGCTGAAATAGAGGATCAGATGAAAGAGGCTGAAATAGAGAATCAGATGAAAGAGGCTGAAATTGAGGATCAGATGAAAGAGGCTGAAATAGAGGATCAGATGAAATTGTGGCTGACATTGTGGAGTTCTTAACCTATTTGAGTAAAGTTTCCCTTTCAAACCTGACGGTCTATGGGGCAAGTGAAGTAGAGTTCACTTGTTTCTGTGACCTCGGCTTTTGAAGAGATAGTGTGGTCAGCACTATGCCCAGCCGCCTTTACTCTCCCTAACGTGAGTTAGGTACCCATCAGAGTTGGGTGGACTCAGGGACGTTCTCTGGCTTAAACCCGGATTCGAACTCGAGACTTACGGGTTAGCAGTCCAGCTCTCTACCGCTAGACCACTCCATCCCCTATTTGAGTAAAGTTCTCTGCAATTATTTTATTCTATAATTTATTCCCAAATACAGTGGTACTTTGACATGCAAGCACAATCTGAGACACGAGCAACCAGGTTAGTGTGTTTAAAAAGTAAAAAGATATTGGAGCATTTAGGTTCAATTATGTTCCAACAAAGTTTAGTTTACATTCTGTTAAGTTTGGGAATAAAGTGTAGCATTACGTGGTGAACGAATAAGTTAATCAAAGTGACATTAAGAGCTTAGCATTAATCATTTTTGGGGCTGGAAAGGATTAATGGCTTTTCAATTAATTTGAGGAACGAGCAATTTGACACAACAGCAATGTTATGGAGTGAATTAAACTTGTATCTCGAGGTACCGTATTATGTATAGATAAGAGAGTGTATATTTGTCAGCAGGATGTATTTGTAAATACTTGGCTCATATCACAACCTTAAACCTAACCCTAGTCATGACCCTAACAGCAATACTGGTAGGGGAAATGTGCAAAGAAAAACAGCAAAGACTTACCCCAGAGAGTACATCAACTGGCTCATGGGTCTGTGTGTGTGAGAAGGGCAGTGGTGTGTGGGGAGTTGTGCTCTGTGGGGGGCTGATGGAGGGGTTTGGTGAAGCCGTGCAGCTGAAACACAAATAAACACAGGTAACTTTACATTAACACATACATATCTTTACATAGAGACACTACAAAACTTCTGCAGTTTGGTTTTTGAAAAATTTTGCTACTCGTTAAATACAGAAAAAAGTAATGAGTCGGCTTTATATAGATTGTTAACAAAAAATGTATGAAGTACTCACTTCAATTCAGCAAAACTGCTGGTTAGAGACTGTGTTTTATTATAACTTGTATTGGCCTGCAAAATCTGATCCTTAGGTACCTATAATAAAAAACAACATTCAATTAAAGTAATTAAATTTCCATTGAGTAGTCTCATCAGTTTTGGGAGTTGCCTTGCCCACAGAATCCACAGCTCCTGAACATTTAAGTGTTGTATGTCGGACAAGTGGGTAAATAACCAACATCTCTGATTGCTACAAGGAGATTTCTGCCATGGTAAAAAAAAAAAACCATTCCCTCAATATGGAGGGAGCGTCATCTCACAAACATCAATGCTGGTCAAGAACGTATTGAGGGAGTGGCATCTCAGTGGCCCGTAACCCAGACATCAATGCTGGTCAAGAACATATTGAGGGAGTGGCATCTCAGTGGCCCGTAACCCAGACATCAATGCTGGTCAAGAATTATGAAAGCACAAGACCTCAACTGTTCAATCATTCAGCTATAACTGAGACTAAACACTGTGTTACTGTTATATCATTATATAGCTAAAGGACTACTCTACAAGACAGCACAAATAAACGCTAAGCATCTGAACAGCAGCAGTAGAAAATTCCTTCTATTTTTATGTTTCCTATTCCCTAAAAAACTTACCTCAGTAAGAACTGTACATTCATAAGATGGCTGATACTTCTCCTAGAATAAAGAGACAAGCAAGTCAATACACATCAAACACGACTGATCAAACAGCTGTAACTGTCAGATATATGTCCCGTGAATTATTGTCAGAAATGTGACCTTACCTTCTCCACTTCTGACCTTTTCTCCATCTTTTCTCTGTCTGTCTTGTGTTTCCTGTCTGCGCCTTTAGGCTGAAACAAGAACAAAATAATAGTTACTCGTTATTAAATACCAAATACCCATTACAAAAAATAAAACAGTTTTAAAATGTAATTTTTTGACAAATTTTAAATCTTCTCTTTTTAATATTTTTTTACTATTGTGAGTCAAACAGTTGTGCCTCTTATGTTAGTATTGTGAGTTTGATAAATGAGCTGCAAATCTAAGTTATTTTAAACTCATGGCTTGGTGAAAGTAAAATCTTACCTTAAACACTTTAATTTGACAAGAAGCAGCATGAAGCAACTTAGCTTCATCTGTATTTGTGTATGTTTCAACCTGCATTCACAAGAGAAAACAGACAAAATGTTAGGTTACTTAACTGTAAAATAATTACTCGATTAAAACAAAATTTTCTAGCCAGCGATACACAGATCAGTTACCTGTATTCTAAATGGCACTCCTTTCTCTCCACCATGTTTTTTGGCAGTGAACTCTGTGGATATGCAGTGCACCCGAACATACAGTCCAGTCTCCTTGGTGGGGTCCCATATAAACTCTAGCTGATTCAAGCGCACCGGGTCCAAGTTGACATTTACAAGCCCATATGATAAGGGAATATCTGAATCAAAGATGTCAGAAATTAACAAAATGTACATAAGATACTCAACAAATATTACACTTAAACTTATTACTAATTTGATTTTAAAATAATCTTTGTTTTTGTGATAAAAGCTTTCCAGAAACAAATTTAAATCTTTCGTACAGCCATCTCCCATGGATAGATTTTGCAGCGGGAGACAATGGATGCACCAATAGAATTATCGTCAGGTGAGTACCAGGCTATTAGATGAAGATCATGGGCTAACCATGGATTGTGACGCTTTTTGACCTTTGCCAATATAGTCCAAATAAATGCTACGCATTACCAACTTCAGTTGCCAATTTAGGAGCTTTCTCTGTTAGGGTAGCTATCCCCAGCTAACCATTCACAATTGTGTGGGGGCAAGTTAGAATATGTGTGCTATAATGACAATTCTAGCTCCCCCAAACTGACTAAGTTCTGTTAGACAATTACAATGGTATGGTATAGTAATGCTGATTGACAGATTGAAGCCGACCAGTGCACAACATCTAATTAAACCATAGATTTCTAATTAAAGGAAATGAAAATAATGGAATGTTAAACTGCTCAATTGGTGACTGATTGTCACATTCTTCAAGACAATCAGCATTGCTGGCTTGCTCTGGCACAGAGGATGTAGCACAGAATTTAAGATGGGGATATTAATTTTAGGTGGCCTAATCAAGTTAAACTAGGCCCCAACCAAAAGCCCCTAAGTATAATAGGAAGCGGCAAATAGCTAAACACTAAGATGAATAAGCACAATTTACAACAGGACTGTAATGATGAATGGAAGAGAGTTTTTAAATTAAGGTTGAGGACAAAGTGTCTGGTGAGAAAATATCACAAACTCACAATCCATCCCTAATTATGCAAACAAAACCCTCTGCCACTCGACATGGTGCCACATGAGAATGCAACAAACCAATATCTAGGATTCTCTCCCCTGGTCTCATCTGTTTCCAGGAGTCAATCTGTTCTTTCTCCATAAACTGGAGCCTTCGATCATGAAATAAAACTTTCACAATGCTCTAGAGAAAAAAAACACAAGTTAAAACATAAACTGTAGTAAAAAAAAAAGATTTTTTTATGTAATGTTCAGTATTATAAAAGTATCTTAAAGACGTGTGATGAAAGCAGATAGTTCTCATGACAAATCAAAAAATAGTGTGTCATACCCGTAAATATTTTCCCTGCAATTCTGATAAGTCACCGAGTTTTTTTAACTTTATTTCATATGACTGCCCTGGAAAAAAAAAGAATTCTTATAAATGTTGACATATCAGGAATGCATATGGATTATAAGAAGCTGGAGGGGGGGGGGTGTTAAAAAGAATGTTCAAATTTTAACTTTCTACAATAAATATGAATGGTGTAACCTTGATTTAAATATGTTAAAGTCTCCTCATTCATTTTCACAGCAGGTGATGTGGCCGCACCCAAGATATACTGAAACCTGTGGTATAACAAAAGGAGTTGGACAGACTGTTTTATAAAGAGTTTATTATAATCTTGACTGTTGGATATATGGATAAAACTAAAAACATGTGAGAAATGTTTGCCAATACTCCCCACCTTTAACTCACCCAACATTAGATGACCCCAAATCACTCACCCATTTTCCAAGTTTTCCTGTTTAAACACAGGCAGAGCGAGTAAAGCTTCACTGAAAAAGTAGAATAAAGCACATGAATAATAAAAAACTTGACAATCACCATTAATAACCTGACTGCTAGAATCAACAACCATTTACCTCATATTGTAGCTGGCAGTGCCCAACTCCGTGCCCAACCCAGATAGTGAACCATCAAAGTCAGCAGCCAGACCACCGTCAATGTCCCAAGTGCTCAAGGAGTTTGTGGTAGTGGGTGGTGTTGGTGTGGAGTGGTACATCTTTGAGCGTTTGCCGGCACCAGCGCCGGTCTCATCAGACCAACTGTAACTATGATGTACACTGAAATAGTCATCAGTACTAAATTTAAACTACTTGCAGACCTTCTAGTCTCAAGGCTTTTCTGTCAGGAGCAGCCACCAGCAACTACACTGTATTATAATTATAAATACATACCACACATATATGTATAATTATAATAATGGCATACTCCAGAATAAATATGTTACGGTTTTCATCAACATAAAAATGTTGAGCATAAAATACTCAGCTAGGTGAATAAAACCCCCTTACTGAAAATTACAAGAAAAAAACTGTCCTTTAATTGTGATAATTAATTTTAACAAAAACTTTTTGCTGCAATGAAATGTCTTTAAAATAGCATCTTTATCTACTCATTTAAGCTTTGTTATCGACAGTTAAAACTATTTTGCTAACACAAAAGCAATCTGAAGATCTATAGTAAGGAACAAACATTTTTTTATACATGACGTTAGAAAGATAACTATAAATAATAGAAAAAAAAGGGTACAACTTATACTCCACCAAAAGATGTACAGCAACCATAAATTAACATTATTCTTGCAACCCATGTTGGGCATACACAATAAAAAATATTTGCCCTTTAATACTTCTGCCCAGCACTTCACCGCTAGTCTATATTTTTACAATTGAGTTTAGGCCTTTATTTTAAACTAATCAATGTATGTTGGTAAAAAAAAACTATAGCATTATTTATTATCACTAATTTACTTATTTACCTCAGTGGCTGATGGCTACTCATAAAATCCAGTTTCGAAGGGGTCCTTGTGTTATTGAACAAAAAAATTACTATTAGGCTTATTGAACAAGATATTTTGAGTCAAGTGAATATAAAAGCTGTATCAATATCAGTTAAATTCTTTCTGAACTTATTCTAATTACAAAGTCTACATATTTATTGTGGATGCACAATACTTTAGTTGCAAGCAAGTTTGCTAGGGCCTACTTATTTATAGGCCTATATATTTAATAAATCATCTTCTGTTTCAGATTCAAAAGATTTAGTTTGATCAATCTTACAACCTACAATGACTTACATTTAGCAATTGGGAGTACTGTCTTAACTTTGCACGATATCAATTCAATAAGTATTAGGCCTAATCCTAATAATGAATAATGCCCCTAATTTTATCCTTCTTACTAATGCCAAAGCCAGCCTTGGCTCTAGGCCTAATTATTTTTAAGGCTTTTCACACCAAAATTAATCGACTAGCATTTTAAATAGGAAGTGTCTATTCCCACTCAACTGGGAATCTTTCTTTATTTTGATATTTAGTTTTTAATAATATCTATGAATATTGGTCTTGAACATTTATTTCTCCATTTTCAATCAAGTGAGAATGAAAAACTAGGGTCTGGGGATCAGATAAATAAATATGCGGATGCGCTTGTTTTAACTCTGCAACAGTGTGTAAGTAAGGCGTAAGGCTAAAGGAAATAATAGTGATTCAACTAAATTAGTATTTTTACACAGTAATATTTCAAAATGCAATTTTAAAAATGTTTTAGTTCATTATGTTAGATATAAACAAAATATCTAGTAAAACGAGCGTACTGTTGAAGATTGTTATGTTATTGCTCGGGGAAAAAGTCAAACCAAACCTGGCTACGCAAAAAATTGCAAAAACCTTCGGATTTTACCAAACATAATTAATGGTACGCATTGCTTTTTAAAATGCACAAAAGCAAAGGAAACTTCAACGAATAAATTATTACCTGTCTGGAGTGTGTATCATTCCTTATTGAATGTCCTTGTGACTACGAAGCCAATGCCGTGACTTAGAAAAATAACATCAACAGTGGCAAATGGCGGTGGTACCCACTACAACTTCCAAAGGTATGGTGGAGAAGTATCGATACTCGCTAAAAAATTATACTCGGTTACAAAATAAGTTGTACCTACACTAAAATATTTTAAAATAATTCAAGGCCTTTTATTTAGTATTAATGTACCAATAATTTTCTAATTGTTGCGATAAGCTAGTTGAATGTACTTGACCAAATTACTAAAATCTGAATATTAAATTTATAAAAAGCTTACAAGTCTGCCCACCTATTGCAGTGCAGATGATTAACTTGAGGCATAATTACAGTAACCCCAATCCGCAGTTGAATTGGCCTATGTGCGAACCTTAATAGGATATGATGATATACCAATTAATTATACACAGTTGCCACACCCATTGCTCTTCATCGTAAAGCTTACTAATGGAGTATTTTGTGACAGTTTTAATTATGATAACATATTGCGATGCGCATATGATTGGAAAATCATTTTTAATAATTACTAAAACTTTTTAAAAAATATGTGAGGATACCATGAATGAAGTTTAACAAATAAATTCAATAGCCTACAGTACAGGGCAAAAGTAAATATCGTCGATTTCTTTCCACTTTGATAGTATCGATTCTTCTTAGCTCATTACACTTCAGTATCCGGAAAAGATCAGATAAACTAAAATTATTTATTGTTTATTTAAAAGTTTGCTTCTTGTTTATAAATTGTACCGCAGAAATTAATAACTCACGTGCATTAATTTTTTTAGTTGCATAATTGAATTATTATAGTATGTGCATTATGTTGCATCTTAGCTATTATAGATTCTTAAAATTTTGTTAAATGCTCTCACAAAGTGAGTGTAAAATTTGTCCTAGAAAGCAGCCTTGTCTATGAATAATCATTATGCATGTAACATTCAACTTCGGACGTGATAAAGTTAACTGATTTTGTAATAATGTAAAAAGGAAAGATGAATAATGCTTTTTAACGCACTGCTGTATCTTAATGGAAGCATTTGTTGACAGTTGCTAATGAGCACCTGGCCACACAATTCTGGTTTTTAATCCACAAAAAGTTTCACCAAAACAAACAAATATTTTTAACTGTTATTCAATGCTATTGTTTTCTTTGTGCTTGGCTAAAGCATTTTATAAAAAATTATAGAAATTAAAAAATATTTTTTAAAGACAAACTTTTTGGTTAATAATAAGTGTACTATTTTAATGTTCCTAAAATAGCGTAACTAAAATTATAAAACTGTAAACTAGTGACGGATTCACTGTGCCTTCAAGCACCGTAATAGTGGGAATAGGGCGCAGAGTTTCTTTCAGACAGTTTTATCCGGAGCATTTCAGCATCCTGGGCGAAATAGAAACATATCTAATATATACAGAAAATATAAATTGTAACCAGTGTCCACCCCCCCCCCCCCCCCTCATGACATTTTTAAGAGACCCCTCCCTTTTGTTGAACTCAGACTGACAGTAGCCATTTATATTAACCCTTTCGAATAATTTTGGGTCACTTTGTGAAAGATCCTTCTGGTTAGATCAATTTGACGCGGTCAATTGGAATGAGCCGCTGTATTAAGGAATGCGCGAGGCAGCTCTAAATTTTGCTTACATTTTACCTTTCTTTTAAAAAGTCCATTAAAGTCATTGACCTTTAAAATGAGTGAGTTAAAAAAACAACAACATCTATATAATTAGTGATTTATTTTGTTTCAAAATCCGGACGGGGGGGGGGGGGGGAGGGTGAATGGCTTTTAATTTTGCACTGTAAATGCATAAAGGCCATCTTTTAATCATCATGACATATACAAACAGACACGTGAATTTTAGACCCACCTCTCCCCTTTCAAAAATAGACTTCTACTAAAAGTTAATAGACTACCAAAACTCACTGTCGTAGTATACTTAAAAGGCACGGACATTTGCGGTTCAGGGTGCCGTCCCCTCATTTAACAAGACATACCTCAACACGGCTATCTGGCTTAGATAGTAGCGGACACCTGAAGCGCGTATGCTACTGATGCAACAAGTACGGCGTAGAGCGCTAGACTGCAAGTCCGCAAGTCTCGAATTCGAATCCTGGTTCAAATCATGTAGAACGTTCCTGAGTCCACCCAGCTCAGATGGGTACCTAACTCGAGTTAAGGAAAGTAAAGGCGGCTGGGCATAGTACTGACCACACTATCCCCTCATACGCCAAGGTCACAAAAACCGATGAACTCTACTTCACTTGCCTCACGGACCGTCAGGATCGTCAAGAGAACTTTTACTGATTCCACAAAATGACTATGTATCACGCAATGATAATAGTTTAAATAGTGTCTTATTCTTTTCACAAAGGTCAGTCAATAATGTGTGAGAACTAAACTTTAAAATTATTGCAAGTAGCTGTATGAATACCTCAGATGCAACCCTTCCCCCCCCCCCCCTTCCTGCTCCATAAGCACTCGCCTAACCCGATGGTTAACCTACTCGTGTTGTACAGATACCGAGACTATAACCAGCTTAACTATTCTTTAAGCAACAGCACTACCGGATATATTTAGGTTATGCATTTCTTTGTACGCAGATGAAATGTTTTGTTTGTTGTAGTGTAGCTTACAAATTGTTTTATTTTGAAGTTAACACGTGGGCGGGCACATGGATCAGTGCGTCCACTTTTCAGGATGATCCCAAAATATGAATTATGTATGGGACGGTGTGACCTAGGCAGTAGAGCGCTAGACTGCTAACCCGAATGTCTCGAGTTCGAATCCTGGTAAACGTGAGTCCAGCTCTGATGGAGACTTAAAGTAAATGCGGCTGGTTATATACCGAGGTCAAGAAACAACTCAACTCTACTTCATCTGCCCAATGAATATTATGATGGAACATTTTCCAACAAAAAGCTCACTCGGCAAACCTGAACACATTGAGGATACCGAGTCCGATAATAGACTCTTCCGAAAATGGGTGTGTTACGTTGTTAGTAGTAGGCTTATTGTAATCAGAGGCGTAGCGATCATTTTGCGCCCCCTCACACTTCTATATAGTTATTCAAGTTGGTGAAAAAGCACCGCGTCCCCACTTAGTCGAAAAGGTTGGTGGTACTTTTTTTCCGGTCACTATTCCGTAGTCTAGGTTTTTATCTAGGAGAAACACAATTGATGGTAGAAAACAATTTAATCAGTGTGTAAAGCCTTGTAGGCGTTTACTTTTTTAAACTTTGACTGTGTATAATTTCAGAGGCGTGGCGAGGGGGGGGGTTTACATATGTCCCCGGGCGCCGACCTTAGGGGGCGCCAAAATGGGTTGAAAAAAAAAATTAAAATATCATTTTAGCTGCATTTTTGCATTATAAATATAAAAAAAATATATGGGGGTGCAAATCGAAAGTTTGAAAGGGGGGGGGGGGTGCAAATTGAACATTGTAAGGTTGTTCCCGAGGGGGGGGGGGGGCGCCAAATTGAAAGTTTGTCCCCGGGAAGGGTACCTCAGCTTTAAATGAGATAAACTGTTTTTTTTCTAGCCCTTATGGCACCCGGGGAGGCCACCCCACCCACCCTCCCCTAGCTACGCCACTGATTGTAAATCTAGTTTTATGGTTAGAAATTAGGGTAAAGCGTTTGGTAGACTGGGTTTGGGGTTAGTATTGAAATTAGGAAGTCTTATGCATAGTATTTAGTTAACTACCAGTAGTCTAACACACCCTTTCTAAGAAGATTATATTATTACTCCATTATCGGACGCTGGTTGACTTAAGAAACCCACCAATTTCGGTTGAGGTTACGTTTTATCAGAATTAGCCTGTAAAACTATTGTAACTGTCATTGGGTCGGGTGTGATCCGGTACGATTAGTGAGGGTGTCACATCAACCCCTTAAACAATTTGTCATTTTCGGATAGGTGTCCGCCCCCCCCCCCCCCCCATTGTTATCTTTAATGGTTAAAACTTTTTTTTTGTCGTGCTGTCACCCGGTGCGAACTGTTACAAATAAATAAGGTAGGTAAAAGATTAAAAGTCCAGGATTAGCACTTAATAGGATTATGTCCCCTAACAGTAATCTCTGCTCCATTAGCTTTTTTGCTAGTGTATTTTTTCCACTACATGTTTAAACTGAATTTTGGTTAATAAGATTTTTTTTGCCTACAAGTACAAGACATGGTTACTAATTATTATTTTTTTTTAAATAAATAATTTAGTTGGTTAATAAGAATTTTTTAAATTTTGAGTTGGTGAGATTGGTAAAAGTAAAGATTCCAGATTTATCTACACTTTTTGAGGTTAAATAACCTTCCTCATATTATACAATTATTAATAACGATTTCCTTCTTTAAATAAACCAAACATCTGTTATATTTAATTTTTTTTTTACTTTAATTTAAATACCCAAAGTATCAGATTGACCTTTCACATCATAAACAGACTTCAAACGTAATCACTTGACACGCAGACAGACCAGTAATTTTATTGTGACAAATTTAGGTACAAAGTCAGAAGTTTCTTTATTTACAAATACTGGCCTCACAAAAAGTTTTTCTAATTTATTTGTGAGGCACGAAGTAAGTTAACAGAAGCCCAGCTCTCAGACACGGACGAAAGATGCAGACCAGCCTAATGCACCCCCCTGTAAACAATTTGACACAATGCAACCAGCAGTAATGAAACAATACAGAATTATGCACTCAATCTGGCAGTGTTCGCCCTCTAGGCTCTCAACAACAGGAACCAAACATTTAAACTTTTATTACATAACAACTGTAGTATTTTAAAGATCAAACATTCTGACTTCCTCCTGTGCTTAAAAATGTTGCATGCTGTTTTGAAATTACAGATCTAGCCTCATTGGGTCTCAGTAAAAACACTAGAATATCTTTAATCATAATAAATAAGGAATAAATAATGTACTTGGGTCTAATTTCCCGGGATGCAATGGTACAGATTCCATTAACACATTCAAAATACCTCAGAGAAAGAACTTAATTTTTTATTCCTCTAGACATAATGTTATAAAATTTCATTTACTATGTTCAGAATAACTCAGAATAACTTTTGGGGGAAAAATAGTATGCCTATGAGAAAACAAACCATAATTATGCAAACTATGGATGGCTGGGGTGATTTTAAAATTATAATTAAGCTTGGATAAAATGAACATTTTTCCCCACTACTGTAAATTGACAAGCAGCTCATGTTTTTCTGAAATTTGAAAGATAGATATCACAACCAAGCATTAATATTTTTTCTTTGAGTCTCCTCCTATCTTTCTCTGCTCTTCAAGTTTTTTTTCTGCTTTTTTCCATTCTTCATTTAAATTTTTGAAAAATGTGTTAAAAAAACTATTAGTCCTTTGCAGAGATTGGTTTGTTTTATCTTGAATTTTCTGTGACGAGTATTTCATCTCATCTTGTAGGCGATTGACGACATCTGTTTCTTTAAACTTTTCCAGCTTTTCTTCACCTGAGTAAAGACAGCAGAAGTGTTAAAAACAATTTAATAGCCTCCACTTTTGATAAATAGCAAACATATGAAAATTCAAACAAGGATATTATGTGTTTGATATTTTACTCTACTTTTATTCCAAAAGTAGTGAAAATCTCATTAACACAACAAATCTAAATTATATTTGCACAGTCATGTCAACTCCTTGCAACCATTTTGGAGAACAGTCAATGCAAAAAAGGGTTTCTAAGCACCAACACTACATTGCTAAATAGAAGTAAGGTAATGGATATATATGACTATTTATTATATATGCTATTTCTGAAAACAGATTACTTCAACTGGACCTATTTCTTCAAAACTTTTCACGTAGGTCAAGACTCGATGACTATGCACTGTGACATAAAATGTGACTTAATTGGGTGTTCAATTAACTAAGAAAATTAATTATAGTTTTTAGTCAAGTACCAATTTTTTTTGCTATTAAGCATACATTATTTACTTTCATTTAATGCAGAGTTAGTTTTTCTACTCAATTATATTGTACGTCTATTTTGTTTTTTAATTCCATTTTCTACTTTCTATTTGAAAATGTAGGTATTAAAAAGATCAATTAAAAAAAATTCTTTAAACAGGCTGAATGAAAGTGCCATTCCCCTTACTGTTGTCTAAGAATAGATGAGAAAGTTTAGGGGAGACTACTCCCGCTTTATTTAAATAAAAGCTTTGTAAATAATTTGCTGATCAAATAGAGATATATGATTCTTTAGTTACTTTGTGAAACAACACACCTAATGCAGTAAAGTAAACTTGTAAGCATATAGTTGTACAATGTGTTAATACAAAAATTAAATACTTATTAGTTTTCCTTTATGAAACAAGTAGGCAGTCAGCTGTGCAGCTCTTCGTATTGGATAACTGTCAGCAAGCTAAGAGAGAGAAATGAAATACTCTGAGACCTAATTAATTTCACAATTAAATATGTACAGTAACATGGATTAAAATACAAAAAAAAATATTAATAACAAAAACAGATTTTTACCTTTTGAATAAGCTGTTCATTGTTGAGGAGATGCCTGTAAGGTTACAAAAAATAAATTAAATAATACTTTAGTTGATGGTGATAATTAATAGAACATGAGATACTTTGAGGTTAAAGAGAACAAGTATACCTATCCACCCCATATTCTTTGGGTAACTATAGGTTTAGACATCATGCATGTTTGTCGATTTTTATCTTCCCCTCCCCACATCATCACAAAATGCCAGACCCACACATCTAAAAAGATGTCACACCACAGCCAACAAGTTTTTGTTTTTAAAAAAACCACAGATTTCTTTCTATAATACAATTATAATATTTTCTGAGCTTTAACTGTATATGAATGACAAATGAATAAATAATTTAAGCTAATGTCAAAATAATAACAATGAATTAGAACCATTCCTGTGTGTTGGGATTTCTAATGTGCACTTTCTAGGTGAGAAAATTAAAACCAATGAATGTGTGGGTTTTGAACCCCTGGCACTTCACATGGTCACTAATATGCTGACGTCTCTGCCAGCAAGTCACAAACATATCGGTGAAAATATTTCTTGAATGCATTTTCTTTTTTTGTTAAAAAAAAACCTACTTGTGATCAATCTATTCGTTAAGTTGATATTTTTTCTTCTCGCAATTCTAACACAACAATAAAGACCATATAACCGTAGGTATGCATTGCAAACTTTGTCTCACTATTTACCTATTAAGTTAGAAAGGTTTCCCCTGAATCTCTAACTAACTATAATTTTACCCAAAAAAAACTTAAACATAAACAAGATGGCTGCTAAAATAAATGAGCTTGGTTGCATCTGATGAAAACATCGCTAGACTTTATTTTTTATTGTAAAGTTTTATTAGTTTTAGCCTAAAGTTTAAAAACAGGTAGATCTACATTAATGAAACTTTGAAACATTTTTGTATATTTCAAAACATAAATCCTCCTACAAATGTGAAATAATTACTAAAATTTAATGAGTCACCTTTTTTCACATTACTATTACTAGTCTCAGTCGATTTTATGTACCTGCCCAGACTGTCCTAACAAAACTGATAGATTACGGCTATACTATAGGGCCTAGTATTAATTTATAATAAAAAATTAGCTATTAGGCCATTAGTTGTTTGGTAACTACTAAGATTCCTGTTTATCTGGACCTACAGTGACAGTATCTAATAATACTAATATCTAGTGAAATCGATTGTTTTGACATGATGAAATGAAAGATTTATTAATAAATGAATGATTGGTGATGATTGACTATTGAGTACTATTGAGACATGATGAAATGAAAGATTTATTAATAAATGAATGATTGGTGATGATTGACTATTGATTGAGTACTTGAGTCGTATTGACGCAAATGACTGTGACTGGTTGTGACTGGATGAAGGTCAGTCCGAGCTCAACGAACTAACACTATGGTACCGTACCATGTAGCCTACACTTTCTCTAGATGTACATTTATAAAAGTAAATAAAAGTGAAAAAAAAACAGTTTTAAATTTAGATCCACTAATTCAAAAGTCAAAAGGGGAAGATCTACCTTAACAAAGCCCGTAGGGGCATTTTGATATTAGTTTTTCGAAAACATACGAAAAATAAAACTTCCGGTTCAACCAAGTTGTTTATTTACAAGTGCAACGAAATATGCCAGATAAAAATTGTGAAAAAAATGTTAGAGTACACGATTTTGACAGATCTATATTTTAAATAGAACTTAATAGTGGCATTGTTTCAATGAATTTTCGGTTATCTTCACTTTTTTACTGCAAAAAAGTCTTTATTTTCGTCACTTGTATCAGATTTAGTTAATGTGCCACATGACCTCTCTCAAAAGTTAGAAAACCAAAGTGCGATGCACAGCCCATTAAATATTTTCCGGTTATTCTGCTTTTTATTGTCGTCTACAGCGCATTAGCTGTTATACCTGTTATGCATGCATCAATATATTACTAAAAATATTTACGGTGTACACACTGTACATAGTCATTCTAGCTGTCAATCTAATTCCGAGCTTCTTTCTGTTGTTTTTTCTTTGGGCAAAGGATCTGCATTCATTCAACTTAAGAACATCTGTTCTCTTTAAAACTACTTGAAATTCAAGATCTGCATATTCAAATCTAATGTAACATTTTTAAATTGTTGCTATTTAAGCAGAAGACTGGTGGACAACGGAAATGTCCACTGTTCGCCAGTTTTAATTACCGTAGGGAAAGTGCAAACATTAATCAAAATTTGTCTCGAAAGATTTCTACACATTGGCTGGTCAGACATCCATAAACAATGCCAACCTTTGGCAAACGACAAAGTCGAAGAGAGGAAAATTAAGAACGGGATTGTGTGGCTTGATTTGGCACATTTACGAAAATAACAACAAGCATCATCAAACAAGCCCAAATGTGGAACCCACTATATATATATATATATATATATATATATATATATATATATATATATATATATATATATATATATAAGCTTGTAAGTATGTGTATACGTATGTGTATATGTATTCAAATATATTTTTTCTGGATGTACGTAATCCCCCACCCCTTTCCCATACATGGATTAACACATAAGTTATTAAGTTATTACGATTCTCAACCAAACCGTTTTCCTCAAACATATTTTGCAAGTTGAGTTGATGTAAACAGTCCTCGGAAAATACTAACAATTTTTATCTATCGTCGGTTATAAATACAGCTGGATATAGCATGTTTTCTCTATAATTAGCAGGTCTACGTCATAGTGTACCCCTCCCCCCCCCCCCCTCCTCCACCCTTGTCGGGTTTTGTCAACTTTGTTCTTAAAAGACTATTTAACTCACTTAAATTAATCATTTAATTAAGTGGAACTATCTTTGTTCTGTATATATTTTGCTATTTTTTGCCTTGGTGTCACACCCCCCCCCTAAATGGTGTCACCCCCTAAATGGTGTCACCCCCTAAATGGTGTCACCCCCTAAATGGTGTCACCCGGTGCGGTCAGCACGCCCCCCCCCCCCCTTGCCTCTGAAAGAAGGAAAGGTAAGAGGTCGGATGCTTGTTATCACTTGTAGGGAAATATTAAAACAGGCCCGCCCACAACACGTCGTGGGTTATTTGACACAAGTAGACTAGTGCCTTGTCCAGCCATCACGCACAAACTATCAACAACAACAACAACAAGATCACAAACTAAACTATTAAAACAGCATTGTGGTCGATTCTGCCTAATCGGGACACATCCAAGTAGGTTCCGGTTGGTCCAAGTTTGCAAAGCTACAAAAATATGTAGCCAAACTTTGAAACTACAATAGCATACATTGCGATTTTAATTAAGAGACAATGGCATAGAGACGCCAGGAACTAAAACCGTTTTAAAAAGGTAATAAATTATTCTTTTAATATAATTACATCAATATTTTTATTGATTTGTTCTTCTTGTGGGGCGTTAAAATTCCATTTTCGATCATGATATAGTATGAAATACTGCTCATGCATTGATTGTTGAATTATAGCCCTATACAGAGCCAAGGATATTAGAATATGACCAGAAAGAAAAATCATTGTGTTTTTCTCCCCGGAATGGGTCAGTTGAGTGTAGGCATACATACAGCCTAATTAAAAACTCGAGAGCGTTGTACCACAACAGAGAAATAAAGGTTTCGCTAAGAGCCCATGTGATATAGGCCTACCGTACTTATAAAAAATAAAAGCGACGCATTTTTTTTAACTAACAAATCTTTTTAATAAATATTACATTAAAAAACATTCACTCACTCTGATTACAAAATTGTGAAGATTTTAGAAGTTATTTAATTCAATTATTTGAAGTAAATTGTTCTCTAACAACTTCCATGTACGTGTTATAATAATAAAACAAATTATTGGCAAATTAATTATTTATTTCGTGTGAATTAATTGTCTAAAATAATTAAAACAACAACCAACACCACCGGTTGATAACGTTCTCGTAGACAAAGAAATGGCTAACTCCGTGTGAAAATATTTGACAAAGGCGTTATGGTGCTATTTATAACAAAATGAAATTAAGGCAGGCCAACATGCAACTATGTACAGTCAAGACATGCTTGAAAATTGGACTTGTGACGACAGGTCCTGCTGGGTCCTCCTGAAGTCCATACAAGTTGGGCAGACGACTTCTCATCAGGGATTTGTCCCTCAACCAAAAACTGATCTTCAGAAATCAGAAACAAGTCTAGGCTTGCATACATTCTGGAAAAAAAGTGAACTGTTATTATTTGAAACGTAGCCTACTATTATTTATTTTAGTTTCATTTATGCACAGATAGGCTCCATATAAACTTAGAGAAATAAATAGCCCATAATATAATTATTTTTGTATATCTAAGCGTTGGTCTCGCGATTCGTGCTCTACACTGTATCGTGCATTTTAAAAAATATCAATAAAGTTAAGCCAAGGAATAAGAATAATTTTTTATTCGCAGTTTTGTTTCCACACGAGCATTGACATAATTATTGAGCTGAATGCCGATAATGAGCTCCATGCCTGCAACGCTGTTGATTTGAATTAAAACACGTACAGGCCGTCCATAAATGACGTTAATCTCCTGATAAAAGGGAGGGGGTGCAATCGTCAAAACATCTTAAATCATATATAGATCATCCAGTCGGGAATGTGTTTTTTTATTTGAAAGGGTGCGTAGAGGCGTAGCTAGGGGAGGGCGGGGAGGGCGGCCGCCCCGGGCGCCGACCCTAGGGGGGCGCCAAAAGGGGTAGAAAAAAATTAAAAGCTTATTTTAAGCTGCAATTTTGAATTATAAACAGTCAAAGTAAAGAAATTTAACGGTCGAGAGCCTTTGCATACTGATTTAATTGTTTTCTACCTTGGTTGTGTAACTGTAAAACGTATATCTTTAAAAAACAGTGACCGGAAAAACCGCTTTCCAGCTTTACTAGATGGGGAGGGGGGGCTCTTTTTCGAAGACTAAAATCTGAAAAATTCACACCGGATTAAGGAATAAACCGTTATCACCCAGAAAAGAAACCCATTGAACTAAAGCGTATTTTACGATTGTGTAACATAAAAAAAGAGTTAGCAGACTGTCGGAGCGGGGGGATGGGAAGCGACACTCTTTGCCAACATTTTAAGAGAGAAGAAAATTAGTATATTGTACTGATTATTTCTTTGTTCAACCTAACTGATAATTCAAAATTACAATATTGGCCAACTATTTTCGAAATTGTGCTAAAGACACGACCAAAAGTAGACCAAATAAGGCTTGCAAATTCTACAAAATACACTCTAAAGCAGTGGTTCTTAACATTTGGAGTACCGAAGCCAACTAGTTTCATATGCGCAATCACCGAACCCTCCTTAATAGTTGTATCGTCCACAATGACAAAATCCAATCGTGAATCATGTGAGTCGGGTGTGTGTCTTGACCTCCGCGGAAGACCTGAGACTGAATTACCAACCTCTCGGGTTCGATGGAGCCCACTGTTCTAAGCTCTTTTGATTTTCTACTTTTATTCGTTTCGGCATCTTAAGGGGCATTTAATTGGCGTCCAGTGAAGTTTTAGGGAACGACAATCAGCGTCATTGTTTTTTTTTTTCCAGACTGTCGCACACACAAACACACACGCATATATATATATATATATATATATATATATATATATATATATATATATATATATATATATATGGGGGCGCCAAACTGAAAGTTCGCCCCGGGCGCCGGAAAGGGTCGCTACGCCTCTGAGGGTGCGCGATCATCATAACTATAACACGAAATTTAAACAGAATGACCTGTTTATCAACACGGGGAATGGTATTTCAAAAACTGACGTGGACAGCGTTTCTTTCAGACTTTTTTCTTGGGGGGCACTTGATATTACAATAAACTGACCTGTACTTGAATGCTGGGCGGTGACGGGTTAGTCCATCTTGAAATGGACGGTGAGCGCCGGGAGTTTTCCAGCGTTACAACACCAGGGCTGCACCTTCACGCTCCTCCGCTGGGGAGCGTGCCGTGCTTCATGGGCGGCGCCTGCCACATCGTCCAGCCCAAGGTCTGTGGATGGTCAATGGTGAGTGTTACTTCAGTCAGTTTTAACTACTGCTAACACGCAGTAAGTTTTTACAGCTAACACGCGGTTGAAGAAGTGCATAGGTCGAAAATAGTTAAACTATATTTTGTGGGAATTAATTTAGATTAAACTAAATTCTAGCTTTGTGCATCTGTATTCAGAAAAAGATTATTTATATTGATATTTTAAAATTCAAATAATTTTTATGAAAACGCATGTTTTGATTTTAGAGCTGCGAAACGAAATAGTTGGCACAAAAATCAAAACAATGACGACCAGCATACATTGACTAGTTAACTGCCACCATGTTGCCGATGTTTCCCATGTCATCTGCTATTCTACTTTAGTAGCCCACCTCTATAATATCTGCTGCCCACAGGATTAGGCAGTCTCCGACATTACCTGGAACTGGAAGAGCCTCTACAGGACTCAGCAGAAGACACAGCATAGCGCCGACAGCGATGGTCAGAGCCAGAACTTTCATGACGGTGTTCATCTCTGTCTTACTCCACAGGAGTTGCTCTGTGAGGAACACACTGGCTCAAAGAAGATTTCGCTTTTTTTTTTAAAACTTTTTTTTACAACCTGGGGAACAAAAACACAATAATTATAATTAGATAATTTTACTTAATAAAAAATATCATAGTTTCAAAAGCTTATTATTGGTCTGCTTACGTTTTTTAAAATACTATTTTAAAATAAAAAGTTAATTATAATGAAATTAGTAGAGCCAATAATTTCGGCTACATTGATATTATAAATTCAGTGTTATTTATTTTCAAATGATATTAAATAGTAGTACATAAGTAGTCTTTAGTCATACCAAATTCAAGACGAATGTATCACTTGTACAAGTCACAGAAGTTGACGGGATCAATAGTTCTTTTCGGTAAGTGGTGTGACTTAAATATGAACGACAACTCGGCGTAGCCACGAATCTTTCACCAACCACTACAAAAATAACAAACGAACCGTGGAGTAGAGAGTTGTGTCCCTTTAGATACTCATCTTTTGGCTGATGGCGGAGATGGCAGGCCGTTTCTTCATTGCTGGGAATTAACGGAGATTAAAGTTTGACGTCAGGCCGCTTCAGTTCTGTTACAACCGGCAGAAATTTCAATCAATTTACTGTTCGGTTGTTTCACTTGATCACCTGAGATAATTCAAAACATCCATCGTGTCTTTCCCCTTGGGGCACGGAAAATGTACCATCTTTATCTAATTAGCAGATCGGAATATTTGACATCTGTACATTTTGCTATGCAACTCAAGTTTGTTGTCTAACTACGACAAAGCGAAGGATTCTCAAGATAGAACTACTGGATCAACAGGAAACAGTCATAACGTTTTAGTTCAACGACTAATCAAAACAACACTACAGTTCTGTGTTTATACAAACCTTTTGTCGGCATCGTTGTTTCATTAAAGCATTAAAATAACACAGTAAATCTAATAATAGTTCTGCCATAACGTCTGTTTTCACACCCTTTCAAAAACTGGACCCACACGACAGCACCACAATATAGGTGTTTCGTTTCACAACACCATGGATAGAAAGATGAGGTCATTAGTTTATATTTTTTAGAAACCTTGTAACGAAATACCGCAATAATTTGTTTACACATAGGCGACTTGGGTTTTTCTACGTATCACATGCCGTCGTTTGATTACTAATGCTTTAACGCACAGCCTGTTGTGTATGTCCTGTAAAAATATGAGGTTTCGAAACCGCATGATCGTAGTGCATTTTTAAAATGCTTGACGTCATTGGTGGATTTATCAACACAAACACTCCGGTTTATGTTAGAAGACGTGCTCCCCCCTCTCTCACCACACAGACTAACCGTGAACTTTTGCTTCCGCTGTACCCACCACACAGACTGACCTTGAACTTTTGCTTCCACTGTTCTACCACACAGACTGACCTTGAACTTTTGCTTCCACTGTTCTACCACACAGACTGACCTTGAACTTTTGCTTCCACTGCTCTACCACACAGACTGACCTTGAACTTTTGCTTCCACTGTTCTACCACACAGACTATCCTTGAGCTTTTGCTTCCACTGTCCCACCACACATATTAACCTTGAACTAGTGCTACCACTCCCCCCCCCCCCACCACACGAACCTTGAAAGTGTACTTCCGCCACCACCCAACCACACAGACTAACGTTGAATTTGATAGTTGTTGTTTTTTTTTTTTTGCCCTGAGGTATACTCTAGATGTCAACAAAGACATGTTTCATGTAAAGGTCTAACCAGGATCGATTTCCGTGATTTCACTAGTGTGACCAAGGTCCTCCCTCAGCTTACTCACCTGAAAAAGTGGAAATGCCGAGGACGCAATCTAGCAGCGTAGATGAATGATAGCACTACTGTAAGGGGGTAACATTATCATACAATAAATCATTATGAAGAACAAAATCATACACCGTAGGCCTACACACCTATTAGAAATCTTGTCTAGAGTTAGTGGCGCAGAAAAAGGCATATATATATATATATATATGGGTGATCCATAACGCTTTTTTGACGATTTTTACCTCCCACCCTCCCGTCCGTCACAAAAAGCCAGAGCCCCTAAAATGACGTCACACCTCAGCCTGCAAATTGAATTTGAATCTTTCTTAAAATATGATATTTTCTCCAAATCTTGTCTGAACTCTGTCAACATAAAGTATTTTAATCAATTTCTATTACAGTTTATTAAAACAGTTTTCTAAAACGCGAAATAACGACTAAAATTCGTTTTCTAACATTGCTTTTTTATAATGCAAAAGTGTGACGTCACACCATCTGACCCCTCCCCCTCTCCCTAATCACACACTGTCACAAAATTACGGACCCCCCCCCCCCTCTCACTACTAGTGTAACGTCATTTATGGACGACCCCATATATATATATATATATATATATATATATATATATATATATATATATATATATATATATATATATGTGTGTGTGTGTGTGTATATATATATATGCCTATATATACATTGAGTTGGGGGCGGGCAAAATCGAAAGTTTAAAATGGACAGTATCTGTCAAGCCTCTCTTCGGGAGTGGGGGGATAATTTTTATAGAAAGTAGTAGTAGTATATTAAGAGGAATTAAGTATATACTTTAACTAGTCACCGCCCCACTCTTGGAAATTCCCCTTTCCCTCCCTGGAGCAAAGTGTCTGAAAGAAACTCTGGCACACTGGAAATGCGTCGCTACGATTCTGATCGAAACTATTTTTCCCATTTAAAATAACAGTTTTGCTAGTCCCACTGTTAACTGAACTAAGACTAAATTACTAAATCAAACAGCCCAAAAACCGGCAAAGCGTTTTAACCGACTATGCCAGATTTGATATTTAAACAACATTACACTAATTACAACAAATACGCAGGGAATGATTACCGATATTTAAAATTTAAAAAATAGTATTCAAATAGTTAACAATTGTATTTCCTTGTTCGACCAATATTAATAAAAGCTAGTTTATATATTTATTCAATTTGATACTATTTTAGTAATTGTTTGAAAGCTACCCACTTTAAAAATCTGCCATTGTCGTTGAAGAAAAATTGTTTGTCACGATTGTTATCTTCTCTAAATTTTATAGATCTACCTGGACCTAAATTCTGTTATTTTTAAAACATCAACAATGGTTAAGGTAGCGGAAACTCAAGATGTAGAAATGAAAGATGCATCAGCAAATGATGCAAATAAAACGGAGGAGACAGAAAAAGAAGAAAAGAAAGACCCCGAACTGTTAACTTTAGAAGGTAGGTTAGCTGAGTGACGACAGTCAGTGATGACTCTAACTCTAGCTAGGCTTTTTGATGAGAATTACAGAATGATTTTTTTAATTAAAAATGTATCAATAATAGCTAGAACACTAGTAAACTAAGCTAATTTAGCATATTTTATTTTTCTGTGCAAAGTCATTATTACTGAAAAAAATTCCAAAGTCAGGTCAGCCTGTGGCACCCTCCACTGAACTTGACAGAAGGATAAAAAACTTGACCCGTGACCCTCATTAAAACAGAATTTGCTTTTGTTTTATTTTTTATTTTTAGTAAACATGTGCTTTATCTTACCCAATAAGTGATAAAAATTTGAAAATTAATTTTAATTACTGTTGTAAAGTGAGATAAACAGCTTAATAAACACGTGTTTTCTTGAGGGGGTGTGACCCGGGTGTGTCACATCGCAATTGGAACTTTATATTTCTGTGTTTTATGACTATATTTGTTTACAATTAGCATGCTATGCTTTTAAAATTGATAAAGAGTAAGTATACCAAGTTACAAAATCTGCAATCTAACTAATAATTCATACTTTCAGTTTAAAAAATAATAAAAACGATCATCAACGAAGAAAGCGTAAACATTCTATTTTTAGGTGTGACATAAAAAAACAGTCATAAATCTAGCCAAATGATTGGATTGTTGCGCGGCACACATTTTCCCGCGCCTCGTTTTCACCAAACAAGATTATAATAAAATGGCATTATTGGGGGTGATCGTTTTCCCACGAACACATCTCATAAACCCAAGAAATTATTACCAGTTAATTGTAATGTGTGTTAAATTAATAGTTTAAAGTATTCAAGTAACATAGGCTGGGTTCCAAGGAATGCGATATTTCAGAGTTATTTGATTTAAAAGACAAGAATACATAGAGCTATTTTCACCTACGCGCCGCTTTCGAGACAAAGAAATTAGGTCAAAAGTACATCTGGGAATTCTTAAATAACAGACTGAAATAGAAACGGATAGTTCCGTTTTCTAAAATTAACGATGGCATCGTAATCAATAGTTTTATCCCTCTACCGTTTAGAGAAAGCGAAACTGGTCGCCATTTTAGTAAGCGCATGAGCCGTGAGATGCCACGAAAATGACAAACCCGGAAGTGTTGAATCGAACGGCCTACTGTCAGTGATGACTGATGATGAGATGTCTGTCCTTTAGAAGTTTAGATTCTACTCATCTACCGAGTTTACTGTAGTCAGTAGTAGTGTAAGTGTAGTAGTGTATTGTGTAGAGCTGTAGGCCTAATCACTGATTACTGACTCAGTACTTTTTTAGAGTTTTTCTTTTTAAAAACATTTTACTTTTTATTCTTAGTTCTAGAAGTCTAGGTCAGGTCTAGATTCTAGTGACAGTAGTGACTTCTATTCCACGGTAAAACTCCATATGATTTTAGCATATTTTATTTCCCGCTTCATGTTCACCTCCTGTTCAGCATATTTTATTTATTATAAACACAACTGAAACACACAAAAATGTCGTTATGAAAACAATAGGCCCTATCAAAATAGGCCTAATCTATTTATTTATCAATTTTAGTTTTTGATAATTTACTTAGGCTTAAGAAAAATCCATATTTGAAATATTAAATGTGCACTATTTATATCAATATCTAGATTTAGCACTTTTTTCCTCTTGAAAATATGTTCATGTTGGTTGAAATTTCATGGCAATAGGTAAAATACTAATTAAGTTTGTATTGTTACAAGTATCTCGCATGCATGGTACAATAAGCTATAAACTTAAATGAACTCACAATGGCCCTAAAACTGACATCACCATAATTTCAAACAGCTATCATGTCCGTGTAGGGATATTTCTCTAGCTGACTGATGAGAAAACGCTGGCGATCTCACATTATTTAATTGAAACCGTGGGCCTAATGCTTATTTATGTTTTTTACCTGTTCTAATTAAAACACATTCATTAAAAAATAAATAGATCTAATCCTAGTTTTGTTTTCTTATAGTTTTGTGTGTTTCGGATGTGTTTATAATAAAATACGTTCATCCTGAGGTCAACCCGAAGCAGCGAATAAAATACACTAAAATGGAGTTTTACCCTAGTCCACTGCTCAGTCAGTTAACTAGTAGTAGTAGCCTGATTGTAGGAAAAAAAACACAGACAAGAGTCACAAATGTGTATTTGTATGGAATCAATACTTATATGTATAAACACTCAGAAAGTGAAAATAACTTACGCTTCAAATGTAATGTAAAGATTTTAGATATGTGCATAGATGGTATATGTATAGTAATATGTGTGACAAACTTAAAAAGATTTAGGCTGAGGTATGGATGCTTTAATTCCGTTATATGTACCTAAAATATTTAATAGAATTAAAAAGGATATTCTAACCTTTTGGTCTATTGTGTTTTTTAAATGCCAACTTTATATTAGCTTGAAATGGCATAAAGACGTAGTTAATGTGACTTTCTGTCCTCAACTAATTCCAACATTAGGTCAACCACCTTTACTGCTCACATTTATCACTCTCATTACATAACAAAACATAGGATCAAAACAGAAAGCTGACATGGTACAAGGGCTGTTATTGACGAAAACACACAATATGGACAGGTTAGGCTGCTGAGGTGAGGCCATCCAAGAAATTAAAGGCCTACGGCAAAAACATATGTACATAAAAACAATCATGTGCCTAATCGTGTTTTATAATGATTTGTTCTACAGCGTATTCAATTAAATATATAACAAGTGGAGATTTTAAATTATCTTATTCTATTTTACTTATTATTGTTATAAACCATAATGCTTTTAAATTTTATAAATATGATACACCCACATTGATAAACACAATTCTCACCAATTAAATCAAAATATTTCTTAGAAGATTTTTGTGACGTTTTCAGATAAAGTTTTTCCTTTGTAATTTCTTTCCTAGCAAAAACTTTTTTTCCCCCCGTTCACCAGTAGCCTACCCTTTCCAGCTTGTGTCACTACTAGTTAGGCTCCTAAAATTAAAAAAATTAAAATAAAATTATTTCTTAAATTATCAGTTATGTTAAATGTCTTGTTCTAACTTAATTTCTAAATCTCAATGATGTTAATGGATCCCAGCAGGAAGAGTCTAGAAGATTCCATTTGATTAATATAACAAAGTGACTAGATGGAAGAAGCTTTTGTCCCATAGTCTCTGGTGGCTGGCAGAAGACACAAAAACACAATGGCCATAAAAAGGTTAAAATGGGCTGAAACTACCTTTATAGTACTTATACCCTTAAGAGCTGTGCAATGCCTTGAATTACCCTAAATAGCTGTGCAATGGTCTCATATTACTCTTTTAGCCTTATTCTTCTTACAAAACAAACTGTATCGTGTGGTTGAGTGGTTGCGCTTTGGGTGGATTGTCAGGGGGGTAGAATTTAATGGACATTAAAACTAAGCTGTATGCTCAATTTTCAGTCTTCATTAAAATCTTTAAAACTATCAACAGAATAGGTACAAAAATCTGTAATTTTTTTTGTAAATGAATATTTGAATAGGTTACCTAAATTAGCTTGAATCCTAATGGTGTTGAGTTACTTTGCTATGGCAATGGATTAAATAATTTAATATAATAGTTTAATGAGATTACTTTCACAATAAACACCAGAAATAAATGCATTTAATGATTTAGTTTCCAGCTACCACTAATTCCATTGCAAATTCAATATTTTATTCAACAAACTGAAGATAATTTTAAAATTGTTAACATATTCCAAGTCAATATTCCTAGCTGTTATTGAGTTATGCTGTTTATCAATTAATTGTTTGCAGATATTCGGGAGCATGTGAGACATATTGAGAAAGCTGTCTCAACAAAAGAGCCACGGTTCATGTCAAGAGTTATCCGGGCCCTTGTCTCTGTTCGTAGAAAACTTAATCCTCGCATACTTCGCTCCTTAATGAAAGGCTACTTCACAGCACCAAATGTGACAAACAAAGAAGAGCTGTTACCATTTCTTGCTGATGTAAGTAAATCTCCTGCGTACTCCGTCAGCTATTGCCTAATTTAGAATAATGTTGTATGTAAAAACTTGTATAAAAAGTTGAATGGTTTCCAGGGCCAGAGTGAGGGCATGAATGGAATCTCTGGGGTATTTCGTCCACGATCTGGCAAGTTGGCTCAAACACCTGTCTTACCTGAGGTTGAGATCTACATCCACCTTCTTGTCCTCATTTACCTCATTGATACTAAGCAATATGAAAGGGTGAGTCCATTTTATACTTTGGAGTCTCCTGTTAGCAAACGTAGATTTGATTGGTTGTAGTGTGAAATTTTATCTTCTCTGACATTTAATGAAAAAATAAGTTTTAGACCTATGTCATTTGTTAGTAGGAAGCAATTAATATTGATAATTGTGTTGGTAAATACAGGCAGTGGAATGTTCAGAGCTTCTGATGAAGAAGTTGATAGTACAGAACAGAAGGACCATGGATATGCTGTCTGCCAAATGTTATTTCTACTATTCTAGATCATATGAACTAACTAATAAGCTGGAAATTATTAGAACGTAAGCACATACATTTCTGTTATTTTTTTTCTTTAGTATATTTCTGTTTTGTCTACTTTTCCCCAAATATTAAATTAGTGGAGTGCCTTTAATGTATTAATTAAGTTTGTATTATAAAATGTTTCCAGTTACATAACCCAGCAATGTGCTAGAAACATTGACTTAAAATTATCTTTTTCTAATGAGTGGAGTATTTAGTCTAGGTCTACAAGTCTATTGCCATGTTATAATAGTGCTTAAACACAGTATGAAATGTAAGAAATTTAGCAAATGTTAATAAATGTCTGAAGCACTGGTTATTCGCTGATAAAAAACAAAAAATTATAAAAACATGTTTACTTTTTGTGCCTGAGTTGTCATCTGTGACCTGTCACCCAATCAGAAATGTGATGCTTTAATTGACAGGTTCCTCCATGCCAGACTTCGAACTGCCACGCTTCGCTCTGACCACGAAGGCCAGGCCACACTAATCAACTTGCTGCTACGTAACTACTTGCATTATAGTTTGTTTGAGCAGGCAGATAAGCTAGTATCCAAGTCTACCTTTCCTGACAGTGCCTCCAACAATGAGTGGGCTCGTTACTTGTTTTACTTAGGTACGTTCACTTTATTGAATTATCACTTTGAAATTATTTACCTGGATGAGAAAACACAAACAGCTGTACTACATGTGTACCTAATCATGCTGTAATGTTTGTACTGATGATTTCCACAGGTCGGATAAAGGCTGCACAACTTGAGTACTCAGAAGCTCATAAACATTTGCTTCAAGCTACAAGAAAAGCTCCACAGCAGAGTGCCATTGGCTTCAAGCAGACAGTAATGTCTTGTTTATTTTATGTGTAGAATTATTTACTAAACTAGTTGATCACTTGGGAAAAAGTCACATCATTCCAGGTTTTTACTCTTTCTATTGGATTTAACCCACTTAGCTATTAATGGTATTATTTTGGAGGGAACAAAAATATTTTTGCTATTATTATGTCTGTAAAAAAAAATTTTGCAATAGTTAATCTTGGTTTATGCGACATATTGAAGGACTTCCTACAATCATTGGTAATTGCTTTTTAATCAGAGCTAGTCAGATGATGAATCACAATGGTATCAAAGTGAATTATGTTTTGCTGGCTAAAGAAATGAATAAGTCATGAGGTCATGTCTGGTTGCAGGTTCAGAAACTGGCCATAACAGTGGAACTTCTGCTTGGAGACATACCTGACAGAACAGTCTTTCGTCAGCAGTCCATGAGAAGAACACTTGCCCCTTACTTCCAGCTTACCCAGGGTAAAACCATGACAGCCTTTACATGTTTTAAAAGCCATACATCCAACAGCTATATTTCTCACATCCATACTTCATCCATAAAAAAATTCTTATGAAACTAAATCAGTAACCTTTTGTCTGTCCTTGTTTGTAGCTGTAAGAGGAGGAAACCTACAGAAATTTAACGAAACTTTGGCCAAGTTTGGCACCAAGTTCCAGGCAGAAAACACGTACACTCTGATTGTTCGGCTCCGCCACAACGTGATCAAGACAGGAGTGAGGATGATCAGCCTCAGCTATTCACGCATCTATCTCTCAGACATTGCACAGCGCTTGACTCTAGACAGCCCAGAAGATGCTGAGTTTATTGTTGCTAAGGTAGCCATTTCTTTTCACTGCTTGTTAGGGTATTCTTTAATTGGTTGCTAAGGTATTCTTTGATTAGTTGCTAAGGTATTCTTTTAACTGATTTCCAATAAGTAAACAACTATACAACATTGTACAAGTGGACTTACTGCTATCTAACAAAGATTTATGATATATAAAAATTGATGAAAGTAGTTTCCTCCCAGGCAATTCGAGATGGTGTGATTGAAGCCACTATTGACCATGAAAATGGCTATGTGCAGTCCAAGGAGACTGGTGATGTGTACAGCACTAAAGAACCCATGACTGCATTCCACCAGAGGATTAGTTTTTGTCTTGACATTCACAATCAGAGTGTGAAGGTAAGTTGTCCAGCTTCATATTTCTCCTCATTAGGTTTAGTTTAATGGTTGGTGTGTACTTCACTTTGTATAGTGCTGTAACATTGGATTTAACATTATTTTTTTTTCTACCTAAGGCCATGCGTTTTCCACCCAAGTCTTACAATAAGGATCTAGAATCAGCAGAGGTAATGATTTACTTTTATCACTTATTAATTAAATGTAATTATCTACTGTGGATAGATTATGTTCTTGTTATCACTCATTAGATTGCTAACAAAGATGTAGCTGTTGTTTTTGTTGCCTTGAAAGTTATTATTGAGTAATACTATTTTAAAAATACTTGTGTAGTAGAAATATTTGTGTTCAATGTGAATAACTAGTCAGCCAATTTTTCAACATTGATCAGCTTTTGTTTTATTTTTGTGTAGTAGAAATGTTTGTGTTCAATGTGAATAACTAGTCAGCCAATGTTTCAACATTGATCAGCTTTTGTTTTATTTTTGTGTAGTAGAAATGTTTGTGTTCAATGTGAATAACTAGTCAGCCAATGTTTCAACATTGATCAGCTTTTGTTTTATTTTTGTGTAGTAGAAATGTTTGTGTTCAATGTGAATAACTAGTCAGCCAATGTTTCAACATTGATCAGCTTTTGTTTTATTTTTGTGTAGTAGAAATGTTTGTGTTCAATGTGAATAACTAGTCAGCCAATGTTTCAACATTGATCAGCTTTTGTTTTATTTTTGTGTAGTAGAAATGTTTGTGTTCAATGTGAATAACTAGTCAGCCAATTTTTCAACATTGATCAGCTTTTGTTTTATTTTTGTGTAGTAGAAATGTTTGTGTTCAATGTGAATAACTAGTCAGCCAATTTTTCAACATTGATCAGCTTTTGTTTTATTTTTGTGTAGTAGAAATGTTTGTGTTCAATGTGAATAACTAGTCAGCCAATGTTTCAACATTGATCAGCTTTTGTTTTATTTTTGTGTAGTAGAAATGTTTGTGTTCAATGTGAATAACTAGTCAGCCAATTTTTCAACATTGATCAGCTTTTGTTTTATTTTTGTGTAGTAGAAATGTTTGTGTTCAATGTGAATAACTAGTCAGCCAATGTTTCAACATTGATCAGCTTTTGTTTTATTTTTGTGTAGTAGAAATGTTTGTGTTCAATGTGAATAACTAGTCAGCCAATGTTTCAACATTGATCAGCTTTTGTTTTATTTTTGTGTAGTAGAAATGTTTGTGTTCAATGTGAATAACTAGTCAGCCAATGTTTCAACATTGATCAGCTTTTGTTTTATTTTTGTGTAGTAGAAATGTTTGTGTTCAATGTGAATAACTAGTCAGCCAATTTTTCAACATTGATCAGCTTTTGTTTTATTTTTGTGTAGTAGAAATGTTTGTGTTCAATGTGAATAACTAGTCAGCCAATGTTTCAACATTGATCAGCTTTTGTTTTATTTTTGTGTAGTAGAAATGTTTGTGTTCAATGTGAATAACTAGTCAGCCAATTTTTCAACATTGATCAGCTTTTGTTTTATTTTTGTGTAGTAGAAATGTTTGTGTTCAATGTGAATAACTAGTCAGCCAATTTTTCAACATTGATCAGCTTTTGTTTTATTTTTGTGTAGTAGAAATGTTTGTGTTCAATGTGAATAACTAGTCAGCCAATTTTTCAACATTGATCAGCTTTTGTTTTATTTTTGTGTAGTAGAAATGTTTGTGTTCAATGTGAATAACTAGTCAGCCAATTTTTCAACATTGATCAGCTTTTGTTTTATTTTTGTGTAGTAGAAATGTTTGTGTTCAATGTGAATAACTAGTCAGCCAATTTTTCAACATTGATCAGCTTTTGTTTTATTTTTGTGTAGTAGAAATGTTTGTGTTCAATGTGAATAACTAGTCAGCCAATTTTTCAACATTGATCAGCTTTTGTTTTATTTTTGTGTAGTAGAAATGTTTGTGTTCAATGTGAATAACTAGTCAGCCAATGTTTCAACATTGATCAGCTTTTGTTTTATTTTTGTTTTGTTGTAAACACAGGAGCGTAGAGAGCGGGAACAACAGGAACTGGAGAGTGCTAAAGAAATAGCCGAGGAGGATTTTGATGGTTTCCCTTAGTGCTACAATACTAACACAGGAGCGTAGAGAGCGGGAACAACAGGAACTGGAGAGTGCTAAAGAAATAGCCGAGGAGGATTTTGATGGTTTCCCTTAATGCTACAATACTAACACAGGCATCAGCACCAGCCACCACACACCAGCAACATTTGTATCATCAGATTTTTACAGCCATATTCTTTCATTATCTGGCAGTTATACCATTTTTTTTTTTTACTGAAGTGAAGCTGTCCAAATACTGTAGGAAGTTGTCAGAAGTAGTGGGTTTGAATGTTTGTCAGTAAAGTAGTTCTAGAAGTTTCTGCGTGAGCGACTGATGTTTAAACTTCCACCCAGTTTGTGCTGCAACTATTCTGTTGATCCGTGTCCATGTCATCTATTGAACTTTGTCTTTTTTATTGGCAGTCATGTTTATTGGACGCTTTAAGATTTTACTTCAGACATCTGTCTAAAACATTTTATCTGAGCAAGTAGACCAGTGTTTGATGAATGTGCCACTTCAGCCTGTGGCTGAAATAAACAAGTTGAAATTAGAGAAATGTCTCCTAACAACTGTCAAGAGTTGAGCAAGTTGCTGAGTCATTGAATTGGGAGCTGCTTGTGTCTGGTTTCTGTGCTGTTGGTGATGTTCAGTGTCTTGATTTCATTTTTTTAGTTATTGACTAATGTGCTAATTGTTAGAACATGCTGTTTGTTTATTTAAATACATGTTGTACATAGTTTATTATATATTAAAAAAAAATCTTTTGAAAACTGTTTTATCATTTCTTCACCTTTTAGTTTTACTAGTTTTAGTCAAACATCTTACAGTAATCATATGTCAATATTTTAGTAATCACTAATGCTGTCGACATTTTATATTAGAAACACATTTGTAATGTACCACAATGGACTGATCTATTACTAAAAAAAAATTTAATTGCTAATAGTATTACTCTATGATATTGTTAAGTTATAAGTAGATCACATCAAATTACTATCTAACGTAGAGTGGTACTAAGGCAAGCTGTTGCATTGTTTCAACTATTTGGGTAAACTGCTGCTAGTCTAGAAGTCATGTGATGTAAAAGGTGATGAATGGAAATTTTGTGTACACTTGTTGAAATAATTATTTCTCCCATGCATCAAATGTTAGTTTGGGTCTTTCATAACGAGGCATGGTACTCAGTCAAACCTTTATGTACATAAATATGTGATATGGGGTTGTGTTGGGTATAACGCGAGGGCTGTTAATTGGTCGAAACCTGTATGAGATGTCTTAAGTGTGTGACTTCAGTTGGTCCTGTCTTCACCCACCAGCCCCACCCAATGCGTCTCCGTCATCTACCCCGTATTCTCACTCCCCTCCATCCACTAGCAACCTTATCCACCCCTCGAACACCAGCCAATCACAGCTCACCCTAAAACCTGTACGTGCACCACGTGACTAAATGACGTTTTCAGCTAACATAACTTCTACAGACCACGCCCATCTGTTAATTACTAAATGTCATCTTGATGAAGGTCACCGGGTGTCATGAAGGAAAGGTCAAAAGGTGAAGAGTCTGTCAAGTTGATCTCTCAACTGCTGCTGTAAAAATGGGACTGGCTGGCACGTGATGTCCAGAAATCAATCGGATATCGATCTGTGGATAGGTTGACTCTCACATTTTGTATCCTAGTGGGATAGGTTGACTCTCACTATTTGTATCACGTTGGAATAAGTAAAATGTCACATTTTTGTATCACGTTGGGATTGGGATGTTAAATGTCACATTTTTGTGTCACGTTGGGATATGTTAAATGTCACATTTTTGTATCTCGTTGGGATAGAGTTGCAGATACACCGTTAAACCAAAGCGTGGTGACGTAACTCCTGGTTGCACGAAACAACTCTTGTGACGTCAGCAATGTGTCCATTCATGTAACCACATTTGACCTTATCACCAACCGCCAGCCAATAAAATTCACAGAAATCACAAACATCCCTCCCATTCATCAATCCCACACTATTAAATCTGTTTAAACTTAATTTCCACAACAATCAAATGTTTGTCTTTCTAAGGTCACACATCTATCGATGTTTCTCCCAAGTGTTACTGAAGTACGGCCCCTTAGATCAAATGTTAGTTCAACTTTTGGTATTCCCATTATGACGAAATAATCTTTAATGTAATGTCAATTAATACCTACTCCTTGACGTACAGGTCCGTAGCAGTCAATAGCGAATAAGTCAAGGGCCATCACTCTCCATTAGGTTCAATCAATCATACATTCGCTTTCATAGGCGTACTTATCTTAAGTTGTCGCATTGGAATCTTTCTGATCAGAGTTTCTTCCAGGCATCTATTCCAGGCAACCCCCCCCCCCCCCCCAAAGAAAGTCTACTCCCACCCGAACGAGATGGAATTTATATAGTAAACATTTACTTTTACAAGTGTCCGCCCCCCCCCCCCCCACCGCAGAAAAATGTTGCCCCCCCCCCCCCCCCGAAAATATCAAGCGCCCCCCGCCCCGGAGAAAAAAGTCTGGAAGAAACCGTGTTTCTGGTGTGCGAGAATGGTTCTAGATCAATACGAGTCGCAGTTAAAAATTCTGCTTAGCATACAACTGTTTCATGAAGTACCGGTGTCGTATCGAATTAATAGCCGTGTAATTTTGATAATTACTCCAAGAACAGAACCAACCGCTTTAAATCTCTTGATATGGGATGTCATGGTAAATATAATGATGTGAGATATCATGTTAAATACCATGAATCTGGACATCATGGTGTCAAATGGTGCGGCATATCAGGATGTGTGATCATTTGGAATACCACGATGTGGTCTTATGACAGAGTGTAGGTTCAGTGCTGACGTCACACAACAGTGACAGTGTAGCAGACGACACCCTGAGTTGAAGATGGAAGAGCTATTCACCCAACCTAAGAATGTTTAATATCTTGTGGTTTGATTATTTTCCATGCATCATTTTCGTTCCAACGAAAGGTCGAAGGTCAATGCTAGTGAGGACAGTTGCGACGTTAAAAGTATGACCATGTCCTACATAAACCTCTAGGGCTAGGGGAGTGCGGTTCTGCGTTTTCTGGATGTCAAGGCCATCTCTGGCTCCAGGGGATGATGGGAGTGGCCATGCTGTGATTTCATTGGCTGAGTGGGCAACAGGTCAGCAGCACACGACGGAGTGTGACGGAATTTATTTTATACTATCTCCACGGAGGGAAGAAATTCTCAAGAGACAAACTATTTGTACTGGCAAGAATATAAAAACTATCGAGAACTAGTTAAACCTTCACGAACTTAAAGATAGGGGTGAGTATTCATTCAATTCATGTGAAGTCATGTCATTTTAATATGTGTTCGCCATTGTGCGATAAACATCAAGAAAATTTTACCTTTCGTCTTCAGCTGTATTCTCCTGAGATCATTTGTCCTGGGATATTTCGACTTGGGATATTTTGTCCTGGGATATTTTGTCCTGGGATATTTTGTCCTGAAATATTTTATCCTCGGATATTTTGTTCTGGGAAGTGTGGATGGTGTGATACCAGCTCACAATTGTAAGTTAAATATCTAGGGACATTTTGTTTGTTATATTTCTAGATGTCCAATGTCCCTTGAAATATCATACACCCACCAATGTCCTAGAATTATTACTTACACACGCTGAGAGGACCTGACTAATACCAGTGAAGGACCACAGTACTCGGGTCCTCGGAAGTTTGGTTTTCAGTAGCAGACGATGTTTGGCGACGTATGTGACGTAGATGCCAATACATTTCTTCAAACAGATCTGACGTTGCGCAGTTTAAATTTATTTCATGAGTTGCAGTTAATTATTAACTTTTTAATTTTTTTTTTAATTTGGTGCTGAAACATCCGATCTATCTTTTAATTTCAGTAACACAAGGAAGGGCATAACTATAGAAAGGGCAGAAATAACAAGAAGGGCAGTAACTTATCAGGAAGGGCAGTAACTCATCAGATGGATTACAACACGTCCGCCACAGAAAGTAAGAAGACGCGTCGTGTTTTCTCATTTATTCGTGTGACGTCATATTGTCAGAACCCCGGGACAATTCTGACTCTATGACGTCACTAAGCCCAATAGGTCATTGGGTCAATGTCCTCTAGAGTGTAGAAAGCCACTAAGCATTAGTATCAGTACGATTTCAAAACTGGCTTCGTTGTGGACTCTACAATACACCGCGTTTACACTTGCGACACGTGTACCATACTTGTCTAGAAAAGAAACTAGCAACATGTTCATGTTACATGAAAACATTTCCCCACGGAACAAGGTGCGTGTTTTTTTTCTAGTATAGTATACATGTCGCAAGTGTAACACGGTGTTAGTATAAATCAGATCTTGGCATTTAAATATATCCTACATGTCATATTTGTTTATTAATATTGTTACATTCCAACGATGAGTTCTATTTATAGACTTTACTGGCATCTGGTACACGAGCTTGATGACGACATCAGTGCTGTTCAGCACCACAGCATCACCGATGTTCAGCACCACAACAGCACAGATGGCCAACAGCACTATGGCACCGATGCTCAGCACCACAACAAACAGAGCACCAGAAACGACAGCAGCAGTCTGTACCGTGTTCACTGTCCCATATTGTGAACCTCTCATGGTCGGTGAGTACATCACTAGAGGACGTTAGGAGCATCAGGTGTATTGGTGGTGTTAGGGGCATGATGGATGGTGGCATTGGTGGTGTTAGGGGCATGATGAAGTGGGGGATTTGGTGGTGTTAGGGGCATGGTTAGGTGGTGGCATTGGTGGTGTTATGGGCATGATGGGTGGTGTTAGGAGCATAATAGGTGGCATTGGTGGTGTTAGGGGCATGATGAAGTGGGAGCATTGGTGGTGTTAGGGGCATGATGAAGGGGTGGCATTAGGGTAATGGTGAGTTGTAGGCGGTAGGGGCAGGTGAGTAGGTGCTGCTAGGGGTAAAGGTAATTCGAGGCACCCTAAGCTACCACCCGGCTTAGTAAAGCCACTGGCTATAAACTATAATCGACGGCAACAAATGCAACGAAACAAAAATAAATCAGTTTTAGACTCCTAAAATCAACGTTATACCTTGAGTAGATTTTTCTAGCGACGAAATATTTGACTGAAACACCTAATTACCTGCCATTGTTCTAGCTGCCAGTTACATCGTGACGTACGGGATGTACCTGGCCTTTGTTGTGGGTATCCCAGGTAACATCCTCACCCTGCCCATCTTGTTCCGGATGAAACCTTTCAACTCCTCCAACCTCTGGCTGGTTGTCGTCTGCATCAACGGTAATCTTTTTTTTTTATGCATCAACGTTAATCTCAGTTTTTTAAAGATTTAATTAATCAACGGTAATTTCAGTTTTTAAAGGGTTTGTGCATTGTAAGAGAGAAATAATTAATCAACGGTAATCTCAGTTTTTAAAGGATTTAATTAATGAACGGTAATTTCAGTTTTTAAAGAATTTGTGCATTGTAAGAGAGAAATAATTAATCAACGCACATTTTTAAAAAATATTGGTTCATATTAAGAGTCAAATAGATATTTGCTCAGTTGTGCCCCTTATATTCCCCGAATGCTGACTTAATAAAAATATCGGCAATATAAGGCGGTGGCCGTTGGCGAGGTCAAGATGGCCAACCTGTAGCTTTCCCGGAGACTTGAGTTCATATGTCCATGTAAAATTATGGACGCCTGTTTGTCCTGGCAATACTATATAGGCGCCTGTTTGTCCTAGCAATACTATATAGGCGCCTGTTTGTCCTAGCAATACTATATAGGCGCCTGTTTGTCCTAGCAATACTATATAGGCGCCTGTTTGTCCTAGCAATACTATATAGGCGCCTGTTTGTCCTAGCAATACTATACAGGCGCCTGTTTGTCCTAGCAATACTATACAGGCGCCTGTTTGTCCTAGCAATACTATATAGGCGCCTGTTTGTCCTAGCAATACTATACAGGCGCCTGTTTGTCCTAGCAATACTATACAGGCGCCTGTTTGTCCTAGAAGTACTATCGTATTTCGTTGAACCGTTCCCCACAAGTTTTCTGAACTATTTGCTATTAATAGTTAAATACAACCTTTGAAATGTTTGTACCCCTTTATCGTGTTTATGTTTCAACCAATCACCTGAGCCGCATGGATATATGTGATATCATATAGCGACACCAGACATAGTTGCCAGATTGTAACGTATGACGACTTTCCTTCTAGCTTCTAACAGCCTTCCCGTGCCGCTGTTTCAGATATATTTAGCATGGTTTATAGAGCGATAATCAACATACTCTTCAACTACAACTTGATTGCCTTGAACGACAGCTTCTGCCGGTTCATCTACATCGCGTCAGACGTCACGGAATATTCCGGCTACTTCTGTCTGGTGGGGATAACGGTTGAACGGTTGATAGCCGTCTGGTTCCCGCTCAAGATGAGCCTTTGGTGTACCAAGAAGAAAGCAGGTACCTCCATACATTTTTTCTACAATCAATCAGTTTTTTTAAAATTAATACGATCAATACTTTCATACAATATTTGCTTACATTGTTTCAATAGTTAAAACATTTATTTTTTTAAAAGTCAGCACATTAAATTTTTAGCAATCGGCATCTTCGTCATCTTTGCCTTCATTACGGGCCAGGCACAACAGTACAACGAGACGGTCAGGTTTAACGGACTCTGTCTAGTGAGGCTCAAGTACAGGCCGATAGTAGAGAGGTCAGTTCGTTAGGTCTTGCTCAAGTACAGGCCCATAGTAGAGAGGTCAGTTCGTTAGGTCGTCAAATTTTAGCTCAAGTACAGGCCGATAGTAGAGAGGTCAGTTCGTTAGGTCGTCAAATTTTAGCTCAAGTACAGGCCGATAGTAGAGAGGTCAGTTCGTTAGGTCTTGCTCAAGTACAGGCCCATAGTAGAGAGGTCAGTTCGTTAGGTCGTCAAATTTTAGCTCAAGTACAGGCCGATAGTAGAGAGGTCAGTTCGTTAGGTCGTGCTCAAGTACAGGCCGTTAGTAGAGAGGTCAGTTCGTTAGGTCGTCAAATTTTAGCTCAATGATGTATTAGGTAATGTAGCAAAACTTAAGGTCAAAGGGTAATGTCGTAAAACTTTAGGTCCATAATCTACTGGGTAAGGTAGAGCTTTAGGACAATGATTTGTTGGCAAATGTAAAACTTACGGAGAATGATTTTCTGAGTATTATTGTAATATGTTAGTAAAGTGACCTTCATAGGAGCGAACAACACTTTTTTTTTAATAATAAGTAAATAACGACACATCGTATTCAAAATGACCGAATACGAAACAAGAATGGTTTAAAATAAAGCGGGGGTGATCTCCCCTATACTTTCTCGAATATCCGGGGAATGCAACTCAGGATGCAGACATTATTTTTAATCTATTTTTAATTACTTAAACTTTTTAGAAATATAATAGAATCTCGTAGAAAAAAGAATTGCACACCAAGTAAACAGCAAACAATGTGTGTGTGTAATAGTGCGGAATACTAGTACTTTATAAATTCATATTCGTTTTCTGAGAAATCGGAAATAGCGTAAATTACTACTTCCGATTAACGGAAATTACTCAAATTTTGACTTAAAGGCAGATAATTAGATCTTTTACTTATATGTAAAAATTATGGATAGTTATGAATTGAAATATTAGTATAAATATAGTCGAGTAAATGTGAGAATATGGACTAGATAGGCTACTTGGTGAAGATGAATAGGAAGTTTTATTTTGTAATTACCTCCCTTCTGACAAAGGCTTTACTACCTAACGCTGATCAACACAGTCTTTGCCATGTTGCCGATCACTGCGCTAGTCGTGCTCAATATCCTCATCAGAGTGAAGCTGACGTCAGCGAGAAAATTCCAGAAGCAGATGTCGGACCAGCAGAACAAGGAGAAGGACAAACAGCAACAGCAGGTGAGGAATTGTGGCGGGAGGATGTTTTTAGCAAACATGTTCTATAGTTTGGGTGACCAGTTTCTTTATTAAGGCAGTATCCCCCCCCCCCCCCGGAAATTTTAGACCACTCCCCCGAAAGTGTCAACCCCCCCCCCCCCCGGACAAAGGGTCTAAAGAAACACTGTATGTAACACGCACTTTTAAAAACCATTCTTTAAATTTTAAAAATGTATTTTAAAAATGTTCTAAAAAATCTTTTTAAAAAGCTTTGTTACACATATCTTTTGAAAAGTGGTTTTGTAATTAAAAAATCTAAAATTGAGTAACCAAACTTCTATTTTTAGATCAACCGTATGTTGATGGCCGCCTCGATCTGGCTGATCATATGTGTGTCACCAGACACCGTGTATCGTTACGTGGACTACGCGCTGGTGTGGACGGGGATCGAACCAGGGACCATGCCACACAACATTGTCAGGATCAAATACTTTCTAGACGTCACCTGTGGCGTATTGAAAGTGTACAACCACGCGGCCAATTTCATTCTCTACGTTGTCGCGGCACGGAAGTTCAGGTATGGTCACAGTGGGATTTGTTGCAAGTTTAATGCTACCATAGTGGGGATTTGTTGCAAGCTTAATGCTTCCACAGTGGGGATTTGTTGCAAGTTTAAACTCTAACTAACATCTCACACGAATGATTGATAGAGCAATGGCTAAACTATGACATTTTTGTACCTTCTAAATAATATACATTATAAATATACTAGATCTGATAACAATATAGATCTATTATCCTATTATTAATTAGCATACCTTCATAAAGCAAAAACTGTCCACTCTCTATAGAACTGAGCTGATCAAGATGGTGACGTGCAACCGCTATGGTGGGACAGTAAAAGACGCCAACTCAAAGAAAAACACCAGCAACAGCCAAGACTCAAAGAGTACACAAAACACAACCGACTAAATACCGGGATGTTTTGCAAACAAGTAGAAACAAATCGTGTGAAAACTACACATTTTGAAACACAGGAACACATTTTATTCGCTGTTATTTAGTTAACAATGGCTGTTTGTTTTTAAGTTAGTGGCAAAACTTCTCATTTTTCTCCCACTGCTAATCCAGCGATTTAACATTCCAGATGCAGAGACAACGCAAGAATATCCAATTTAAAAAAAAAATCTAGTCAGGTATTAAATAACTTCAGATAATTATAAAATTAATAAAAAGAGGACTAAACTCCACTACAAAAGAGAAGATAAGATTACTAGCCGACGCCGGTGAACTGTTACTATGTTTGTTTGGGAGCCCACCACGGACTAGGAAGAGGCAGATAACTCTTTTAGACATCACAAGCTACTGATTGGTTTTTTAAGCTAATATTTTTAGTAGTAAGGCTGTTGACTAAATTAAGAAAGAACAGAACGCAAAAAAAAAATAATGAGGTGGACCTAGAGATCTAGTTATTGTTCTAAAAACTTCGAATTACTATTTTAAAATACTATAGTGTAAAGAAAATAAAAGTATTAAAACATCTCTGACATCCTTATAATGTTTTAAAAAAATTTAAGAAAATAAAACGAACTTGCTGTTTTTAGTGATAACTTTGGTCGTTAAGTGTGTACTGAAACTGTAAGAAATCTCAAGGGAGACCAAAGAAAACTGATTCTTTTTAGTATTTTCAGATTTTTAAAATGCTTATTAATATTTGTTTTATTTTTACTTCACCAATGGTTTTCTTCCTTATTCGTTTAAAAAAAATAGTATTCACATATTTTATGTAGGTAGTCCAAACTGGCGAAAAAGTGCGTTTTAGGGTCAGTTTTTGCGGTTTTCAAAAAAAAAATTTCACTACTTCTAGTTGTCCTATAAGAATAAAAATTATATGTCAATAAAGTTTAAGTCTTTATCTGTCGTAATCTGGTATTTTTATATCTGTAACACATGTCTGAATGTGTTTTATATTTGTTTGAAAAGTATCAGTTACGTCAACAAATTTCACCGTTTTGCGTGTACCGATCGACCCCACACTGTTTTATTTGGTCGCGGCTTCGCGACGAAGCATCGTAGAAGCATAATCTTAATGTCATTTTAAAGATCGAATTCTAGGCTGTCATTTGATGTATAAATTGAAAAAATAACTTGTTTATTTCATTTAAAAAATACAGATTTTAAACTTTAAATGACGATATATACACGGAAACAAACTAATTCTGTTTCAATTTTTACACCGATGTAAAGTTCAGTTTTATAACTACTTTGTGTTGTAAATTCAAGTATTTCTGATTTACGGTCGCGAAGCCGTACCCCCAATAAACATATAACCCTCGAGTCGACTTTCAGCCCCGAGTCAGTTGCTCGCCGAACGGTTTTAAAGGTTGACGACCGATGATGCTAAACGGATTTTACCCTTGCTAGAGCCTTCAAACAAGTTGTAAGTATCATTTTTAAAGTTTCATTTCCATTTTAATAAATGAATTTTAAGTTTGAATGTCAGTTTGGTTTAATTAGTACACGTTATTAATGTAAATTTGAACGCTTCAAGTCCACGGTTTTAGCGTGTGAACTACGCTTGTACACAGGGTGTGTTTAGACGTGAAGCTATTTAATTCAGGACATTCTAGGGACTTAAAATATGGATGCACTTAACTATTAGATGCTAGTGTTTACTAATTCTTTAAAATCTATTGACTGGGATCAATGATAGGGTCGTATTACTACAGTTTATCTGGACTATCACGTCAAAATTATGAATCGACAAATTCAAAATGGCCACCAGACTATCTTGGTTACTATGTGGACGAACTCAATTATTTACAGGGAACGAAGGTTAAATACTTATACAATATTAATGAAACACAAAAGAAATGTATAATTATAATAACTATACATTTTTATCGATTTATTTAAAACAAAAGACACTAAATTTTAAGGACTAATGTGATTAATTTTTTTATTTTCTGTTGTGCACTCTGATTCTGATTCCCCTGCTGAATAATGTGAAATGGTCTGCGCCAGTCTCCTTAATAAAATGTACCAGATCAATTTTTAGATGGTTGTGCAATTTATTAAGATTGTACATGTTGTGACTTAGTTTTAAATGTTATATTAGTTGTAAGTGTAAGTAGTACTAGTAGTATTTCTCATTATTTATTTATTTTATATGCATATAATAGTAACAATGAAGGACAGTTAAGTTGTCCTATAGGATGTTGAGAACCACAGTATGGCATCTTCATCATTGGATATCTCAACCATTGTGGGACAAGCAACGATTATTTCAAATTTCATTCAGTAGAATTACTCTTAAAAATATATATAAAAAATATAAATTACTTTTAACAAAAAGGTGTTTTCAGGCTTTTTCATATGTTTCCAGTTATAGTCATAGGACAAATAGTAGGCCTACACAATAGGCTAGTAGTAAATTTAATTATATTTTATTAATCACTAAATCAATTGTTCGTTCCATAGCTGGAGACATTTACGGTGGCCTATCCAGAACTTTCCTTACAAGGGAAGGGAAGAAGGCCAAGACCCCACTCCCCCCTACAATTCCCAAAACATATTACTTACTCTTGATGCTCAACAAGATCAAGGTTGAGGGAAACAAGACGTACAAAGATGTTCCCCCAAAACTGTTCCCCCAAAGCAGTTATCAGGTTTGAAAAGAAACCAAAGCATGTGGCATCAACTGCTGCATCACTTGTAGGCATCACGTCTTTATTAAACTACATTACATTACATTTACTCTACTAAATTTTGATTCTGTTTCTCCTGCACTAGATAACTGTGGTATTTTTTAAAATAATATTTTAACTCATGTGATTTTTGAAAATAATTAACACATTTTTCCACGTCGATGTTACCAACACAATAATTTTAGAGTTATTCCAAAGCAAAAAAAAAAAAAAAAATTGAATTTTTTTTTTTTTTTATGAAAATAAAAGTGACCAAAACGCATTTTTGTCATTTTCAATTATTTTTTTACCTTAGAAAGACTCATTTTAGATGACTGAAAAAAATTGGGCATATATATTACAAACTTTGCAGCAACTTTACCAATTTCCACAATTCTATGTTATTTAGTTTAAAAAATATGGGTTCTCAAAAATGGCACTTTTTGAAAATCAGTTTTTTACCAAATTTTGCTTTTTTAAAAATCGCATAACTTTTTTATTTATTGAGATATTTTTATAAAATTTGTGGCATAGACCTTACAATTAAAAGTTCTTTCATGACATACTCACTCCAGAAGTCTGCAATCAATAGTTAATTTCAGTTTGGACTACCTATTTTATGTATCACAAAGAGAAAGAATTAATAATTTATTAGGGCCTAATGGTTATTCCACCCCATGCGAATGAATGTTTTTTATTAAAAATAAGTAGAATTCGGCAAAAAAACACAAGTAGCTGCACAAAATAAAACCTACTCTCTGTGATGTGAACTAAGATTGATTTCTTGACTCAGTTGGCACACCAACTACCAACCACTTACATTCGCAGTCACACTTCAGCTTTGCCCTCCTCCCCTATCAGAATTTTTTTTGTTTTTAAAACGTTTGTACAATCTAAGTTCGTTGAAAATAGTAGAGAAATTATTTAATAGTTTTACCAGGGTCCTTCTTAATTAAACCTTGCCCTTTCATCTTCAATGTGTTTTAAGCAATAAACATCACGTGATCTGTAAAATCTCCATGTATTTAAAATCTTCCCAATTCACGCTAAGAAAGGAATTAAGATGTATGGTCTATTGTTTGCTTCCTTCGTTACTACAGCTGTGAAACATAAATGACGCGCGAACAGTTAAGAAAAATATTTATGGCGTCCACAACAAATAAATGACATAGTAAGACTACGTGAAACATGTACTGGTGCGATTGGTATACACAAGGCTCAACAACTTGCTCATGAATAAAGTTTTCTCAGAGTATCATCGTTATGATCAAGGGAGATCATATATATATATATATTATATATATATATATTTAAAAAGGCAAAATACATGGTACTTAAGAACAAATCACGCAATCGGACGGACATTGTCGAAGAAATGGTGCCCATCAAATCTATTGCTGTGTTACTAGTGTTAGCCCTTGGCAGGATCCATTACACGTGGTTATTTTTTTATATTTACAGTACAAATTAAATAAAGTGCGTGATCACCAATCCGATTCCAGCAACAATACAGGCCATTCAGGTACCACCCAGCTGTGACGAATATTAGTCCAGTGTTCCTGTGACATGTTTCTCCAGAGTGGGTGGGGGAAGCGGGCGCTATTTAAAGTATATATATATTTCTAGTATTTCTATCTAAAATGTAATTTTTCTTTCAATTTCTTCAACCAAATAAAATAATTGTGTTCATATTCAAGATGTTACAAGATAAAGTTGTATTGATAAAGTTTTAACCAAATAAAGGAAGACATCATTGGTGGAAATATATTTTATGATGGTAAACGCAAGTTTTTCTATTAAAACAACAGAAATAAAGTAATGTGTGACTCAACATATGCCTTTTTAAATCATAACATTTTGAAGCATGTCAAATGGTTTCAGTAAATTTTTCACCAAGAACTGACATGGCAAAGTTTAAAGTTTTTTATAACCCAAAGTGACAAGAGATAGTCCTGTCTGAAATTAAAACGGAGTGTAGAAAAAGTTGCCTAAAGATGATGGCGAAATTTTAAAAATGTGATACAGATTCAACAAAGATGCCTATGGATGGAAGTCGAACATAAAAAAGGATAAAACAGCAGCCAGAGACCATTGAGTCCAGATATGAAACATTCAAAAAACTTTGGCTGACCATAAGGACCAGCACAGATTTCAAACACTACCTGCTTGTCTCACTACCATTGAGTGTGTTCACATTGCTGTAACTATTGAGTGTGTTCACATTGCTGTAACCATTGAGTGTGTTCACATTGCTGTAACTATTGAGTGTGTTCACATTGCTGTAACTATTGAGTGTGTTCACATTGCTGTAACTATTGTGTTCACATTGCTGTAACTATTGAGTGTGTTCACATTGCTGTAACTATTGAGTGTGTTCACATTGCTGTAACTATTGAGTGTGTTCACATTGCTGTAACTATTGAGTGTGTTCACATTGCTGTAACTATTGAGTGTGTTCACATTGCTGTAACTATTGAGTGTGTTCACATTGCTGTAGCTAGTCAAACAGTTTCCCACCAGGAATTTTCATTGGTTTAACAATGTCTACATTTCATTTAGTAAAAGGGAAAATGTTAAAATGCAGTTTTGAATGAGGAGGCCTAAAATTTTTTTCTCAAAAACTATTTTTTTTTAAAGCTGGGACGTTCCACAAGGATGCTGAGTAACATTCACAGGTTTGGTCAGCTGACACACACTGCTAGATGACACACAATGTGCTAGATGACAACAAGGTGCTAGATGACACACAATGTGCTAGATGACACACAATGTGCTAGATGACACAATGTGCTAGATGACACAATGTGCTAGATGACACACAATGTGCTAGATGACACAATGTGCTAGATGACACAATGTGCTAGATGACACACAATGTGCTAGATGACACACAATGTGCTAGATGACACAATGTGCTAGATGACACAATGTGCTAGATGACACAATGTGCTAGATGACACACAATGTGCTAGATGACACACAATGTGCTAGATGACACACAATGTGCTAGATGACACACAATGTGCTAGATGACACACAATGTGCTAGATGACACACAATGTGCTAGATGACACCAATGTGCTAGATGACACACAATGTGCTAGATGACACCAATGTGCTAGATGACACACAATGTGCTAGATGACACACAATGTGCTAGATGACACACAATGTGCTAGATGACACACAATGTGCTAGATGACACACAATGTGCTAGATGACACAATGTGCTAGATGACACACAATGTGCTAGATGACACACAATGTGCTAGATGACACACAATGTGCTAGATGACACAAAATGTGCTAGATGACACACAATGTGCTAGATGACACAATGTGCTAGATGACACACAATGTGCTAGATGACACCAATGTGCTAGATGACACACAATGTGCTAGATGACACACAATGTGCTAGATGACACACAATGTGCTAGATGACACACAATGTGCTAGATGACACACAATGTGCTAGATGACACCAATGTGCTAGATGACACACAATGTGCTAGATGACACCAATGTGCTAGATGACACACAATGTGCTAGATGACACACAATGTGCTAGATGACACACAATGTGCTAGATGACACAATGTGCTAGATGACACACAATGTGCTAGATGACATACAATGTGCTAGATGACACACAATGTGCTAGATGACACAATGTACTAGATGACACACAATGTGCTAGATGACACACAATGTGCTAGATGACACACAATGTGCTAGATGACACACAATGTGCTAGATGACACACAATGTGCTAGATGACACACAATGTGCTAGATGACATACAATGTGCTAGATGACACACAATGTGCTAGATGACACAATGTACTAGATGACACACAATGTGCTAGATGACACACAATGTGCTAGATGACACACAATGTGCTAGATGACACTATGTGCTAGATGACACAATGTGCTGAATGACAGATTAATCTTCTACCACAACAGCTCTCATGTCTGAAACTATTTCCTGGGCCAGACTTTTGATTTCCCTATTGCTACTGTGGCACAACTTCTCAAGGTGCATCAAGCACTGAGGAGAGAAGGTGAAAAACTATCATCACATAGGTTGATGTAACAAACACAAATGTAAACAAGGACGACATATGGTAATTTCCTAACACAACATACTGGGTGCAATGACAGGACACAACATACAGGTAGCAACAGCAGGACACAACATACAGGTAGCAACAGCAGGACACAACATACAGGTAGCAACAGCAGGACACAACATACAGGTAGCAACAGCAGGACACAACATACAGGTAGCAACAGCAGGACACAACATACAGGTAGCAACAGCAGGACACAACATACAGGTAGCAACAGCAGGACACAACATACAGGTAGCAACAGCAGGACACAACATACAGGTAGCAACAGCAGGACACAAGATACAGGTAGCAACAGCTTGACCCAGGACACAACATACAGGTAGCAACAGCAGGACACAACATACAGGTAGCAACAGCAGGACACAACATACAGGTAGCAACAGCAGGACACAACATACAGGTAGCAACAGCAGGACACAACATACAGGTAGCAACAGCAGGACACAACATACAGGTAGCAACAGCAGGACACAACATACAGGTAGCAACAGCAGGACACAACATACAGGTAGCAACAGCAGGACACAACATACAGGTAGCAACAGCAGGACACAACATACAGGTAGCAACAGCAGGACACAACATACAGGTAGCAACAGCAGGACACAACATACAGGTAGCAACAGCAGGACACAACATACAGGTAGCAACAGCAGGACACAACATACAGGTAGCAACAGCTTGACCCAGGACACAACATACAGGTAGCAACAGCAGGACACAACATACAGGTAGCAACAGCAGGACACAACATACAGGTAGCAACAGCAGGACACAACATACAGGTAGCAACAGCAGGACACAACATACAGGTAGCAACAGCAGGACACAACATACAGGTAGCAACAGCTTGACCCAGGACACAACATACAGGTAGCAACAGCAGGACACAACATACAGGTAGCAACAGCAGGACACAACATACAGGTAGCAACAGCAGGACACAACATACAGGTAGCAACAGCTTGACCCAGGACACAACATACAGGTAGCAACAGCAGGACACAACATACAGGTAGCAACAGCTTGACCCAGGACACAACATACAGGTAGCAACAGCAGGACACAACATACAGGTAGCAACAGCAGGACACAACATACAGGTAGCAACAGCAGGACACAACATACAGGTAGCAACAGCAGGACACAACATACAGGTAGCAACAGCAGGACACAACATACAGGTAGCAACAGCAGGACACAACATACAGGTAGCAACAGCAGGACACAACATACAGGTAGCAACAGCTTGACCCAGGACACAACATACAGGTAGCAACAGCAGGACACAACATACAGGTAGCAACAGCAGGACACAACATACAGGTAGCAACAGCAGGACACAACATACAGGTAGCAACAGCAGGACACAACATACAGGTAGCAACAGCAGGACACAACATACAGGTAGCAACAGCAGGACACAACATACAGGTAGCAACAGCAGGACACAACATACAGGTAGCAACAGCAGGACACAACATACAGGTAGCAACAGCAGGACACAACATACAGGTAGCAACAGCAGGACACAACATACAGGTAGCAACAGCAGGACACAACATACAGGTAGCAACAGCAGGACACAACATACAGGTAGCAACAGCAGGACACAACATACAGGTAGCAACAGCAGGACACAACATACAGGTAGCAACAGCAGGACACAACATACAGGTAGCAACAGCAGGACACAACATACAGGTAGCAACAGCAGGACACAACATACAGGTAGCAACAGCTTGACCCAGGACACAACATACAGGTAGCAACAGCAGGACACAACATACAGGTAGCAACAGCAGGACACAACATACAGGTAGCAACAGCAGGACACAACATACAGGTAGCAACAGCAGGACACAACATACAGGTAGCAACAGCAGGACACAACATACAGGTAGCAACAGCTTGACCCAGGACACAACATACAGGTAGCAACAGCAGGACACAACATACAGGTAGCAACAGCAGGACACAACATACAGGTAGCAACAGCAGGACACAACATACAGGTAGCAACAGCTTGACCCAGGACACAACATACAGGTAGCAACAGCAGGACACAACATACAGGTAGCAACAGCTTGACCCAGGACACAACATACAGGTAGCAACAGCAGGACACAACATACAGGTAGCAACAGCAGGACACAACATACAGGTAGCAACAGCTTGACCCAGGACACAACATACAGGTAGCAACAGCAGGACACAACATACAGGTAGCAACAGCAGGACACAACATACAGGTAGCAACAGCAGGACACAACATACAGGTAGCAACAGCAGGACACAACATACAGGTAGCAACAGCAGGACACAACATACAGGTAGCAACAGCAGGACACAACATACAGGTAGCAACAGCAGGACACAACATACAGGTAGCAACAGCAGGACACAACATACAGGTAGCAACAGCTTGACCCAGGACACAACATACAGGTAGCAACAGCAGGACACAACATACAGGTAGCAACAGCAGGACACAACATACAGGTAGCAACAGCAGGACACAACATACAGGTAGCAACAGCAGGACACAACATACAGGTAGCAACAGCAGGACACAACATACAGGTAGCAACAGCAGGACACAACATACAGGTAGCAACAGCTTGACCCAGGACACAACATACAGGTAGCAACAGCAGGACACAACATACAGGTAGCAACAGCTTGACCCAGGACACAACATACAGGTAGCAACAGCAGGACACAACATACAGGTAGCAACAACTGGTCACTAGCAGATAACTTACTCGCTCAGAAAGTTTTTTTGTGCAAGCCAAGCCAATATTTTCATCAGTCATCAAAGATTGCATAAGGCGCATGGTACTGATTCTGTTGTCTGCATCCTTCTCTTCTACAAATTAAAGCATAGATCAGATTTCTGTACAAAACTATTTCCAGCTGAATGTTGGTCAGAATTCTCAAACTGTATAGGTTATGCCAGTGCAATACAACACTGCCTACTTAGTGCTAAGGGGATCAAGTATTAACAGTGTTGCTACAGTGGAGGCCTACTTTCATTTATGTTTTTTATAATACTTATTGATACAGACATTTATCAATAAAAAAAGCAGTTCCAGGTGTAAGTACAAGTAAAAAGTTGAGATGTGTTTTAAAAAGTTCTACAGTTACTGATGGTCATCACTAGTATATGGAGGTGACTGTAAGGGAGATAACTGGAGAAAGGGAAATAACAATTATAAACTGAAGACCTAGAAAAAACCATCACATGTTCTAGCCTATGACCAGATCTCTAACATAAGGTTTTCAACTGCAAATTGACTGCTGACCTTTGTTAGATTCTAACTGTTGACCTCTGTCAGGTTCTAACTGCTCACCTTTGAGATGCCAGCACAGTGTCTTGATGAAATCTGACCTAGAACTCAGATACATGATGCCCTTGGAGTTCAGGCTGATGTTGTACAAGCTCATTAGCATCAAGCTGGTGAGGGGAGGGCAACATTTTTACAAATACATTCCTCACACTCTAGAGGCAAGTGTTTCAAAATATTTTTCAAGGAGAAATTGAATTAGCACTCACATTTTCATGTTGGCACTCTTAGTAAGTGGAGCCTCTTGGATAAACTTAATGAATGTGTCTATTGTTTTACATCCATACAAGCTGGTTGATATGTGTTCTCTTCCAATGGCTGTTGCTGCTATGTCTGCACAATCACACACACAATTTAAAATTACACCAACAGGACTTGTTTTTCTAAAACATTGTAGAGGGCAATATGTTGCTATGTTAGCCCCAACTGAATGCACACTTGTTGAGTACATCAATAAAGTAGTATTACAATAAGTTTATTATACAGAAGGTAAAATCTGTAAGTCACTCTGGCATGTTGGAACTGTCCAGCTTGTGGGTCAAGCTAAACTAACCGTGATTACCTAAACTAGACAACTACAACAAATGCATGCATCCAAGTGATGCCACTTTGGCAGCTAGATTTCAACATTATCACACTCATCCCTGATTCAATCAACACCATACCACTCATCCCTGATTCAATCAACATTATATCACTCATTCCTGATTCAATTAAAACCATACCACTCATTCCTGATTCAATTAAAACCATACCACTCATCTCTGATTCAAATAAAACCATACCACTCATCTCAGATTCAATCAACACCATAACATACTACTCATCCCTGATTCAAATAAAACCATACCACTCATCCCTGATTCAAATAAAACCATACCATTCATCCATGATTCAATCAACACAGTACCACTCATCCCTAATTAAATTAATGCTCTCCATTTTCTTAGATTATCCCTCCCTACATCTTTCTGACACAACCTAGTGGCTTTTACTCCCAGTACTTGATACATTACTTGTTACAACTCCACACAAAGAGAGTATAAAGATGGCCTCGTCAGTGTTTTGATTGGGCCATTCATCATCTTTATACGCTGTCAGATAGCTCATGACAGAACTGGAGATTATCTCTAGGAATTCTTGACTTCTGCTCTGTAATCAAATTAACATAATTCATATAGCATTGTTCATTTTCTTACACTTACAGTCAAACTTTCCAAAATAATTTATAAACAACGATCCCACAAGGGTGAAGTTATTTTATGTAAATTATATCTGAACCTTAAGTATGTGTCAGCATGAAAAAACCCTATTTTAAAATATTTGTTTTGTCAGATTTCTGTTTTGCATGTATAAACATGTTTGTTGCACTTTTGTATACTTTTTCCTAGCTACACTTTTTCTTTTGACATATTAACTAAAATGCTTTCATATACACCAGATATAATGGTGTGTACATACCCCAGATATTATAGTTTCTATGGTGTTCTCATGTTTAGAGACCCTCCAGAGCAGGGTACAGCTGGCCGCCCCTAGGGAGGAGCAGAAATCTGACTGCTGCTGTAGCTGGTCAGTCAATTCTTGAATCTCGGTCTTTAAGTTCACCTGGACCTACAATGTGAGAGACATAGTTGTCTACACAGCCAAATATTCAGGTCAAAGGTCAAACTGTAGCAACAACATCAAGATTGGATTAAGCGTAAAGCCAAATACCACAATAGCATGAAGCTAAGACAAAACAAAGGTAGGCCAGACTAGGAAATGTCTCTTTGTTGATGTCTTCATTAGAGCTAAATATATGGATGCATCTATTAGGACCCGGGTCCCAATAGCCACGGCCGCTATTGGGACCCGGGTCCTTATAGCCTCGGTCGCTATTGGGACCAGCCAATAGAATTGTTAAGATTTAGTTATACAAAAATTCTTTTAAGATGCAGAATATATCTTTTCTGTTGTGATTTTTTTCCTTGTAGTTCTAAATGATATATTGAGATCTTGCTTTAAATACCCGATATCATTACTGACAAATGTTATGATGAGCGGGTGTCGTTAGGTCTATAATATAATTATGACCTATGGTATGAACTTCTATGGCCGAGCGAATGTTGAGCGCGCATGTTAAAATGTGTTTTATTTTTTTTTCTTCCGTTAAACGTAATTTTATTTCATAGGTCTGTCCGTCCAAATATATATATATATATATATATATATATATATATATATATATATATATATATATATATATATATATATAATTGTATTAGATAGCTCATATAGGTTGCAGACTACAGCTCCCGGGCCCGTTTTCTTAAACACGAATATCTCGCATGCGTTGTAGTACACTTTAATAGAAGCAAGATGAAACATTTGAACTCACAATGACCCCAAATCCGTTTTTCCCTCTTGCTGGCTTGGGATAGGGGGGGGGGACTACGACGTCAACAAATCTCGACAAGCTCATAGCAATGGTTTTGCTATGACGTATGCTATACGCCTACACTGTTCACATATAAACCAAAGTGACTTGCGCTGACCAGAAAACGCGAGCGGGCGATCAATGGAGCAACGAAGTTTTTATAATTAGCGTGTTTGAAAACCTAAATCTAGAAAAAAAAATCTACTTTTTAATAAAAACAATTAAAAAAAAATTTAAACCAAACAACTCAAAGGGAATGTTAAACTTAGATAAATACACTTTACTTCACACAAAATAGAGAGCTTTGTTAGGTTCCGATCCCGTAACTGATCGAGATGCGGGAGGTACTGCTTTATCCACTAGACCACTACGTCTGACGATAATCGATAAGTAATTAATCTTTATCTATATTTAGCTAAATATAGGGTATTTAGAAATAGCATCACAAGAACTAACGCTAGATAATCCGCATAACTAATTACAATATAAGACAACAAAATACGAGCAAATCTACAAGAAAAATCAAATAAACATAAAAGGTATAATTTTAATACAGGCTGTTCAAGTGCTTAACGAACTTAATGCCGGGTCCCAATAGCGGCCGAGGCTATTAGGACCCGGGTCCCAATAGCGGCCGTGGCTATTGGGACCCGGGTCCTAATAGCCACTTCCTAAATATATATATATATATATATATATATATATATATATATATGTTATATATATATATATATATATATATAAAATCACATATATATGTAGTTTCCTTATAATCAGTTCATGTTTTACAACTCTGAATGAATGGTGACCCTACCTTCTTCTCCCTCTGTAGTTCCTATATAACCAGTACCTCAATGGTGACCTTACCTTCTTCTCCCTCTGCAGTTCCCCCACTGTGTTCTCCAGCTGAGACTTCCAGTGCTGTACCTCTTGCTGTAGGTTGTTTCTTTCTTGTAGGACCTCCTCTAAATCTGGTGGAGATGCAATCAACCATTACATTTTTACAGTTTGCCACATTATTTCTATCATCCAGAACAAACTGAAGATGTCTTTGCATTAACTTCAGTATTTGATTATTCACAACAGACAGCTCAAACCACAGTCTACAGCTACATCTTAGTTAACTGACTACACAGCTAAACATCATCATTGTAAACAGACTAAACATCCAAGGGATGTAACTATATATACAGATAATACATGGGATGTAACAATGACTAATATGGCATTACATTACAGATAAAGCTTTCATTACTATTACTACATCAGAAAGGTGGCTTGGAATCAAATAAAGATTTGAACTCAATCTATGGCTTGGAAGCGACTACATCTTTATGTAAGTGTCTGGTTTGTGTAATATTCAGTTTACCCTTTTATTTAAATCAAAAACATAATGAACATAGCAAGTTAAGGCAAATTTAATACAAATATATAAATAAATAAAATAATGGGTGATGACAGAAGGGCTCTCAAAATATTTAGGGACAAAAATGTCCAAAAAACATTATTTCTGATTTTTAAGAAATCTAGACATTCTCTCCAAAATCTGAACCACAAACTTTTAACAAGAAATAAAACTTACTTTTCTCCAGGTATTTAATTCTAGCATCAGCTATTTCCACATTCTGTGTCATTAATGACAGGAGCAAAGCTTTTATATTGGCTGAGTCCACAGCCAAGTTGTTGAGCAATGATTTCTGTACAATCACCTCATTTTGGGTGAAATCCTGTATGGGGATGAGAAATAAAAATATTTTGTTAGAATTCTAGCTGGGTTAGATTGTTATTTGTTTAAATAAGTACTCAACATTTTAAATATTTTAAACACATTCTTTAGATTGACTCAAGTTCACTCTACTAGAAGTATGAATTTGAATTTAAACATTAGTTTCAACCAAATGGAGTTTAAAAATAAAACAACTATCCTGTAATTAAAAACAGCAGAATGAATATTATTATAACTATTATATTATAATGTTTGGTGTCATATGACATGATCCTCTGTCTCATAGCATGTTAGAAAAGTTTTACTATAGTCTTCATGCTATTTATACAGGTATATGCTTGTCACTTTTAATGAAACAATACTCAAGTCATCACAGAAAAACATGAGATGTTGAGTAGATGACCTGAACAAGCGAAATTTGAATACAGCATAAATTGCTGAAGTTAGAGTTATGCAACCCTCTTAAATTTCTTTGCAGAACATGGTGCAAGGGAAATTACCCAGCTAAAAAAGTTGGATTAAGAAGATAGCAAACACTTTTATTAATATTATAAACAAATTTCAATAGAATACAAAACCCATTACAATCAATTTTTGTTTTCGTTTTCTGATTTAAAAAAAAAACCTTTAAGAGATTCTTTTTAGGGTTCTGCTGCAAATTTTGATGGTCAATAATGCACACAATACTAACATTGTTCATAGTGTTTTGATTTAAAACTTATTTAGTTGTTTAGTTTAACAGAAATAACCTAAATAGAAAAAAATTAGCAAAACATCTGGTTAATTAATGAACAGTACAACAAAGGTTGTGCACTTTAATTGAGTAAGTACCCAATTTTTCTTCTAAAACAGAAATGGCTATGTATAAGCCTACATATCTGTGGACTCACTCCGGGGCTTATACTGTTGGCAGAAAGAGACTGGATTGTGGCCCATTCTTTCTGTACACTCTGTAGATTTTCTACCACCCTGCTCATCAACTCATTGAAAGGTTTCTATGTGAAAATAAAATATTTATTTCAATTATATATACAGGCAAATGAATAGGTCCTGACTTGCAAAGAAACAAATTTACAGCTACATTTTTGCATAACTAATAGAAAAGACATGAAGTAATTTATAAATTTTCCAAAGAATAACAGTAAACAATATGCTTGATTACTAATAAAATAATGTATTTATTAAAATAATTTTCTCAATCATGGTGCACCCAATAATCAAGTTGGCGTTTAAATTGGTGACCTCCCCATCAATTGTTGTTAAGCTTGTAAGTTAGTTAACGGTTGATGAGTACAATTTTCCAACAGAAGTAACACCATGAATGTTGACCACATTAGAACAACTCACATTGTCTATAGGAAGTTTGGTCTCATCTACTGCTGTGCCTTCTATGTTGTCCATCATTTCACAGGACTTTTTTTCTTCAGGTGCAGACATTTTAGAGTTTTGTTGGATCAGTAACTTTTGATGTGCATAGTGGTGAGGTAAATCTATACATTGCAAGTAAACAGGTATTTTAGAAAGAGAAATAGCTACCATCAATATGGGATAGTAGAACTGATACATTGCAAACATTTTAAACTTTAAACAGTGTATCTGAAGACATAAATGCAATGTTTTTTGTTTATGATAAAAGCATTTGCTCTATTAAGTAGAAGCCTACATTTTAAATTTTTATCACTTGTAAATTACTGTGAACTTTTTGCAGCTACCTTAGCACTAGTCAAGCCTTTGGTTTGAAAACCACTGATCTTAAGTAATTTTTTCTGCAATACTGTCAATACCTTCTTCAATACAATAAGAATACTATTGAATAGGATCTCACATAAAAATATGTGAACCCTAGATCTTCTAACTTTGCATTTCCATCAGTGGGCTTCTAATATTCTAAATTAAACTCTTCAATTTAAAAGTAGATCTACCATCTGGTTACAGTAGTTACTAGTCTAGAATGCAGTAAAAATATATTAGATAATTAGATTAAGAATCTCTATAGTCGATATACACCAGATAGAGACTACTAGCTAGCGGATATACGATTACTAGATCTAGAATAATCCCCCAATAATCTAAGTCTAAATATATCTATTCTAATATATGCAGTGAACTACTGAACTTACAACTGTGTGTGTAGTGAGAGTAGTGTAATCAATAATATTCAATATAATAATAACAGCAATCAAAATCATTAAATCATTTTTCAAATGTTCTGTAATCTGTACTGTAAGCCGTGTAAGAAGGACTAACTAAATACTATAATAACTAACTTAGTACTACTAGATCTAGAATCTAGTAACTAAGTCTAAATACTAACTATTAGTAACTAAATAGTAAAGTAAACTATTACTCAAATTAGTATTAATTGATAATTAATAATTATTAAGAATAGTCATTAAGACTACGCGGAGCTCAGATTTAAGTCGGTGGAGTTGAGAAGAGTGTCGTGTGAGTGTGTGGATCTACTAGAATCTACTGCTGAATTAATATAATTAAAAATATAATGATAAAATCTCGATCTATCATTTTTATGTTCAGCTAGATTCAGGGGTATTACGACTGACTAACTTCTAAGGAATCCTCTGAAGGGAATGAAGTAAAGTTTAGTAAAGGCATCCACGGGGAGCCATGCAAAATCACAAATGAAAAAGGAATTTAAAAGTAATACTGGCTAAAACTTAAAACTTTAAAAATGTTTAATTAGCCTGTCTACGAAATAAATAAAAATATGAGGGAATAAGAATAGGCCTAACGGTCAAGTTCTAAGTAAAAAAAAGTATTTAATTATTCGGTCTAATCAAGAAATATATTTCATTATTTTATTTTACACCATACATAATAATTAATACTACATAGATCTAGAATCTAGATCTAAAGATAGATATATTTATTATTTTAAATTAATCATTGTTTTGGCCTAACTAACAATACAATATTAAATTATTAATTAAATATTTAATATTTATGCGAAATTTCTTTCAATTTTAAAAATAATTTTAATAAAATGAATTAGGGGTCGTCCATAAATGACGTCATACTCGTAGGGAAGGGGGGGGGGGGGGTCCGCAATTTTGTGACCTTGTGTGATGAGGGGGAGGGGTTCAGATGGTGTGACGTCACACTTTTGCATTATAAAATAAAAATAGCAATGTTAGAAAACGAGTTTTAGCCGTTATTTTTCGTTTTAGAAAACAGTTTTAATAAATTGTAATAGAAATTGATCAAAATTCTCTGTGTTGACAGAGTTCTGACAAGATTTTGGAAAAATAACGATGTTTTGAGAAAAATTCAACAGCAATTTTGAAGGGGGTTGTAGGCTGATCGAGGTGTGACGTCATTTTAGGGGGGGGGGTCTGGCTTTTTGTGACGACGTGTGACGGAGGGGAGGGGGAGGTAAATATCAAAAATATCGTGACGTCATTTATGGATGACCCCTTAGTAATACGCCTCTTCTCTATTGTAAAGTGAATAGAGCGTAATACTTTTAATAGCTAGGCTTCTTTATGTCATATTACACTTTTTTACAGGTTCCAAACTTTGTACGTGACACTGCAATTTAAAAAGGTATTTTAAATAAGGAAAATTAAAACGAAAATTTTACAAGTCTTACAAGCGCGCGTCTGTCGCAGTAGCGTAGCGAGGGGGGGGGGGGACATATGTCCCCGGGCGCCGACCTTAGGGGGGGGGGCGCCAAATTGAAAGTTTGAGGGGGGGGGGTGCAAATGAAAAGTTCGAGGGGGGGTGCAAATCGAAAGTTTGAGGGGGGGGGGGGTGCAAATGAAAAGTTCGAGGGGGGGGGATGCAAATCGAAAGTTTGAGGGGGGTGCAAATGAAAAGTTCGAGGGGGGGTGCAAATCGAAAATTTGCTCCCAAGGGGGCGCCAAATTGAAAGTATGTCCCCGGGCGCTGGGAAGGGTCGCTACGCCTCTGGTCTGTCGTGATTCGTCATGGGTCAAGGGGGTTGACCATAAATGACGTCACACGCATTCGGGGAGATGTCCATAAGGTTGTTATGGTGTGTGATGAGGGGGTGGGAAGGTAAAAATCGCCAAAAACGCATGACATCATTTATGGAAGACACCAACATGCGAGCGAAATTTCAATTAATTGGATGTTTAATTAATTTTACGCGTTATTTTCGCACATTGTTAGCGTTCATTTGGTATTATATTGTATTATTTCAAATTTTGAGTAATTTCCGTTGACTGGAAGTAGTAATTTACGATATTTCCAATTTCCAAAAAAAAAAAAAAAAAAAAAAAAAAAAACGCATATTAATTTACGAGAAAAATGGCCCGTTGAGGAAGGATACAACGGGCGCTAGGTTGATAGTGCTGTCTCTTTTCTCTAAACTAAAAGCAAAACCAAAATCACCACCTTTATTCAATTTAACCGGAAACGAAAAATGACATTGAAAACGGATTTTTATCCAGAATCGGTACTTTAATTTATACAAAATAAAGTCATAGGCATATCCCTAAACCATGCACCTAATCTCATTCATGACAAAAGTCGTATTTAGAGTTTCTTTCAGGCAACTCTACTTGGGAGGAGGGGGCTCCGCCCCCCCCCCCCCCACACACACACCCCAAAACATGTCTACCGTCCCATTCAACGAAATATAATTATATAATTTTTCCAGTGTCCGCCCCCTCCCAGAAAATTCTACCCCCGCCCTCGAAAATTTCAAGTACCCCCACCCCTCTCCGGGAAGGAAAAAGTCTGAAAGAAACACTGGTCGCATTTGTAGATCATACAAACTAAAGGAAGAATCTGGGCGGGGCTTCGCCCCTACCGGAAGAGAGGAAAAAGTCTGAAAGAAACACTGGTGTCGCGCTTAGCCACTACCCGAAGAATTGCATTAAAGAAATTGCAAGAAAACCACATTTTAGATTAGACACATTAATTAGGCGGTAATTTTATTATAGAGTATCGATGAAGAAATTTCTTTTGAGTTGGGGAGGGGGGGGGGCTCAGACGTTCTTACGCAGGGGTGGGGCTTCGCCCCTACCCGAAGAATTGTATGAAAGAAACTCTTCACGCAAACCATTTAGATTAGACAAAATTGCCTTTTTATTCAATGTTTACTCGAGAATCAATGACGTCATATTACTGTGTGCACACTCCGGCTTGAGATTATTTTTTACTCTATGCTCAATACGACGTCATATTTCGTTTCCGTCTTACTGTGCATGTTTTTAAATTGCTTGTGTTTTCTCTAGAGCGTTCATGTCAGATACATACATACACAGATAGATAGATACACAGACAGCGAAACTATTATATAGAATAAAGTACTAGTATTCCGCACTATTATACACATATTGTTTGCCGTTCACTTGGTGCGCAATTATTTTTTGTACGAGATTCTATTCTATTTTTAAAAGTTTAAGTAATTAAAAATCATGTATATATCCCGAGTTGCCATCCCCCGTAGTGTTATATAAGAATATTCGAAAAAGTTTAGGGGAGCCAACTCCCGCGTTAAAAAAAAAAGTAAAGCGTTAACATAACAGCAAACTTTATTGAAAACCAAAAAAAAAAAAAATATACGTGATTACAATCTGTAAATATTGAAATAAAGGCGGAGTAATTAAGACAGAAAAATAAACGGTACTAATTTCCCCTCACGTGCGGTGAAGTAGTACCACTAGTGAGTCCAACCAGTACTAAATGGTATAAAGAATTTCACTTGTACTAAAAATAGACATAAGCAATCAAATAATAACCAATTAAAAAAAAATTAAACATTAAATCATATTTTCTTTAAGGTCCCCATCGCACGTAAAGCAGTACCAATACTATCATTTGCTTTCTCCAGAACTGAATATGTAATACGAATGCTATATTTGTCTTGTAGATTTACACTTTATTTTCTTATCAATGCTGGCGCTAGTTGCTCTTTTTTTCGTAGGGCATTGGTAGATAAAAACTCACGTTTGAAGGGCTTATATGACGGGAGCCTAAATGACGGGAGCCTATTTGTCGGGAGCATATAAGACGGGGGGCGATATGTCGCTGGCCATTTTGACGGGGTCGATTTGACAGGGCTCTTATGTCGGTCCGTTTTGTCGGGGCCGTTTTGTCACGCCGAACGCCTAAACCTTGTAGTATATTATGAATGCTTAGTCTCCATGTGACGTTTATGTTTTGAATGTTTCATAAAGCCATGATAGTGTTGACCACTACGCATTGCGGCTTCCCTAGCAGAGTTTCTTTTTCACATTGTCAGGGAAAGTAAAGGCGACAGGGCGTAGTATAATTTTTTTAAAACTAAAATATCGACTTTCAAAAAATAATTCTTGTTACAAAAAAAAAACCTTTTTTTTTTACTTTGGGTCGCTAAAAGTGTTTTAAAAATGTGTCTCAAAAGCTACCAAACACTTTCACAAAATAAAGTTTGTTTTAACTCATTTAAAAGTTTATTACTATAAACTATGTTTATAGTTAATTTTATTACAAGGGGTCATCCATAAATGACGATTTTTGACGATTTTTACCTCCCCCCTCCCCTCCGTCGCACATCGTCACAAAAAGCCAGACCCCCCCCCCCTAAAATGACGTCACACCTCAGTCTGCAAATCCCCTCAAAATCGCAGTTGAATTTTTCTTAAAACATCGATGTTTTTCCAAAATCTTGTCTGAACTCTGTCAACATCCGAGTATTTTAATCAATTCTTATTGCAATTTATTAAAACAGTGTTCTTAAAGGCGATATAACGTATAAAAATCGTTTTCTAACATTGCTTTTATACAATGCAAAAGTGTGACGTCGCATCATCTGACCCCCCCCCCTCCCCCTCATCACACACCGTCACAAAATTACGGACCCCCCTCCCCCCTACGAATGTGACGTCATTTATGTAGTGTTTCTTCCCGACTTTTTTCTCCGGGGGGGGGGGGGGGAGCATAGTCCGGCGCCCGGGGACAAACTTTCAATTTGGCGCCCCCCTCGGGAGCAAACTTTAGATTTGCACCCCCAATCAAACTGTTTTGATAATGCTAAAATGCAGCTAAAATGACATTTTAATTTGTTTTTACAACCCATGTTGACGCCCCCTAAGGTTGGCACCCGTGGACATATGTACTCATCTGCCACCCCCCCCCCCCCATCGCTACGCCTCTGGGGGGGGGGGCTTTTGAAATTTTCGGGGGGGGGGGTCAACATTTTTCGGGGGGGGGGGGGGGGCGGACACTAGTAAAAGATATGTTTACTATATAAAATCCATTTTAAAGTAGGGTCTATTGAAAATAAATTAAATTAAAAAAAAAGCAAACAAACAACAAAAACGTTTACTAACAAACTTTTGTATAATTATGCATTAAAAAGGAGAAAATAAATAATTAAAAAATAAAATAATGTACTATTATTTGAATAACTATAAAGTATAAAGAAAAGCGAAGGTCCCCATTGAATACTTTTCCGATAATTTTAGGAGGCGACCCACACTTTTCTTTTATTTGAATAATTATTTAAATAGTGATCCATTATTAGCCCTATAGGCTATATATAAAGAAAATCTTTTCATTTTCTCCTTTTTTAAAGTGCAGAATTATATAACAACTTGCTATTAATTAATTTTTTTTTGAAATAGTTTATTCCAGCCTAAAAAATAGTATTAAAATTTGGTCGCAGTTTTTTTTCACCATTGGA